TTTTGGACCAATTAAAAGGCCTTATCCTTAGGAGAAGTTTTGGCCAAGAAGCTTCTAGAAGTTCACAAGGGAAATACTGGGCAGTGGCCCAGTGGGGCAGCTATACTTCCCATGGTGGGGAATTTTAGCCCTTGCCTTGGTGAGGAAGATTTAGACCAGAGAGCATACTTGACTGGGTGAGGAGGAATCAGAATGATTTCCCTTCTAAAAGCAGTACTAGGTTAGAATATTATTTGGAAAGATGGAACTTGGTCACCAAGGTACCATCCTATATCCTCGAAATTGCATTGGCAATATGTTATTGTGACTGTGACTGCAAAGGCTGTGAGCACAAAATTTGCCAAGAACCTCCTGGAAGTTTTGGACCAATCATAACCTTGATTGCTGAGCAAGGTTTGGTTTGGACCATAGAGCATGTATACTTGACTATGTCACATTTTTCTCCTCAAAATTCAATTTGGTTCGCATTGTTTGTCCAATAAATAAATGTTAATTCTAGCTGATGTGAGGCAATGTGTCTGTCCTCTTACACCCAAGTTGATCCATTCTTTTCCAAATTAGCGTAATTTAAACTATCTCTTGCATTAACCAAAAAAAAAAAAAAAAAAAAAAAAAAAAACAAACAAAATTAATTCCATTATTCACACTCTATTTATCTTTTCTTTATTTATTTATTTCAATTTCAATTTCAATATATTTTTATTCTTATTTCATGAAGTGTCTTCTCTTTTATTATTTTGATTAACTAAGGACGATTTGTGGGATTTTGAATGGAAGTTAGGTTCAACATTCAAAATCCAAAAAAAGAAAAAACCCTTATTGAACTAATTCTAAAATATCACAAATTTTTATCACCTCTAAAATATCACAATTTAGTAACATGAAAGTAATAAACTAATATTTTAAAGGGAGATAGGGGCCCAAATTATAAAAATACTCTCATATGAAATGGACTTTAGAAACACATTCTATGCATCCTTAAAATAGTTGCTCTTTACTTATTAGGCACCCCATCCTATGCATCCTTAAAAAACACTCCCAAGCTTTTCAAAAACTTCCAAACTTTTCCTCTGTTGTAACGCTGGATGATGAGCTGAGTTGTTCTCACCCCATTTGCTTAAGTTTAACTGCCATTATTGCCATTGCCAATGTGGTTGAGGAGGTCTAGAAGAATTTGCTCTCCAAGTCTTGAGTAATTAAAGAGCCACATGAAATTAAAAAGGGTGTTTAAGGGTCATATGACTCATATGCATGTTTTAATTAAGGATTAATTGAAATTCATTATAATTTTACCTTAGGCCATTGTTCGTGATAAAGGTGAGAACAAAATAACGGTTAAAACCGTTATCTAGAGAATGTCTAGTATGCCTAATTAATACAACTCAAGTCATGAACCTAATATATATAATTATCTCGTTTAACCTTTAATCTTGTATGATCAATATTCTTTTTTATCCGAATAAGGGGCCACCAATAATGTACGAAATTCAAGAATAGAATCGCCTTGCTCCACCTTCTTGAACAGATTCTAGTTTCTATGGAATAATCAGACCAAAAAGAAATAAATAAATAAAGTATCTGAAAATAAAATAAATTGCTGGCTATTCCCCTTTCTCCGACACGTCACACACACCTATAACCTAACACATCTTTATGAACATCATTTGAATTTTGAATGTTACATACATGATTCCACAAATAGTTAATTATTATTATGCTAATGGACACGTATTTAATGTTAAGAATGATAATGACAGTATACCTTTTTTTGAAATGAATAAGTAATAATATACCTTAAGTTAAAATAATTAGCAAAAATATTTCCCGCTTTGTAAATGAATTGCTTGGAAAGAAGGCGTAAATTAATTGTTAATTATATAAGGCGTGGAAAATCGGAAATGTCTGCAACAGAATTTCAAACCAAATGGCAGTTTGTGGCGAAAAAGTTATGAGGCGCATGTTAGCCTTAGCCCATCAATTGCAGTGGAGCGCCATTGGCGTGAGACAGTCAAAGAGAAAAGGTCTTTGACTAGGTGCAATTTTTTATTTTTGTAGGGCCCGCCTGATGATCAGTATTTAGTTAGTTGCAAGCGAAACTTATATATTAAAGAAATTATTATCCTTTCAATAGGATTAATAAGCAGTAATCTTTCTCATTATTATTATTGTTTAGTGCTACAATTTTTATTTAAATATGTTAGGAAGATCATTTTTAGAGATCAATTTATGTACTATCTCTCTATTAGAGAGATTGTACACAAGTTGGCATCCTAGGATAGCATGACCCTTTAAGATTCCTTCATGGAAACTAGGGGTGACATTTTAGACCGAAAAGCCATAAAAATCAATTGACATTGTACCGCATTGGAACTGCAATAACTGAAAACCGATCAAAAATTGCGGTTTTAATAACTGAACTGCAATTGCGGTTGTTGTATTTGATTTTGGGAAATAGTGGTTACTGCAAACCGCGACTATTTTTTTCTTTTAAATTTGCATTTTAGTTCAGTCTCTCCTCTCTCCTTGTGCGATCGGATTCAGACCTAACCTAACTACTCTCATCTCTCCTATCTCCTTACGCGGCCTCACTCTCTCAAATACGGCTTCTCTCTCTCTCTCTCTCTCTCTCTCTCTCAACTCTCAAACACGGCTTCTCTCTCACAGACTCGAACTCATCTCCTTTCTCTCTCGATCTCAGTTCTGTCTCTTCTCTTTCATTGCTTTTGACCCTGTTCATGTTAAAGGTTGTAATTTCTAAACCTTCTCTTCTTTTGTTCCCTTCATTTTACTCTGCTCTATCTGCGTGTAAATGTTTATGTTTGTAATGGGTTTTTGGGTTTCTTTGATTTTGTGGTTTTTTGACCTTCGTGGATCTGGTATTCGTATTTTTGTTTGTGTTGGATTGATCTTTGTTCTTTTATTTTTATTTTTAAGTTCTTCATCTGGGTATCTTTTTCCCCTTGATTTCATTTTGAGCTGTGCATTTTTCAGTCATTGATATTTAAGTGTCCATTCCTAAACATTTGATCACAGGTGGAGCTTGCAGTGCATATTCATGGACTATAACAAATCTATCATACCGTCTTTGGAATTTTTTTAAAGCAAACTTCCAATTTCATCTAAATGTCAAGCAATGGCACTCAGGATTTTGTCAAAATTGGAATTATGTACTTGAATTATTTACTGTATTTCCGGATATCTAATTTCGCTGAAGATGATTCTAAATAAGGAACTCATTTTGCCTTATTTTTGGATATGAGGTTTGGTTTTTCTTCTTGGAGATGAATAATTTTGATTTTGAGTTGATAATATGCATCTGGGCAGGCTTTGTTTGTTTGTTTTTTTTCCCATTTTATTTATGCTTGGTGCATTTCCCTTGGATTTCTTTGTTGTTTGTTGATAATTGGTAATTTCGAATCTGTTAATTGGTATTTTCGAATCTGTTGAATTAAACCTAGCACTTGGAATCTGGCACATGGTAATCTGTTTTGGAATCTGGTACTTGGGAATTTCTAATGTCAAATTTGATTTTTGCAGGGATTGTTGCTGAAATGAATTAACGTTTTGGAGGTTGGAGCATTTGGTTTTGCAGAGGTAAGCCGTAAATCTGTGCATAGCTTGAATTAAATTCTGTTTTTAGTATGTTAATGTTTTGAGCTTGAATTAAACTCTGTTTTGTATGTTAATGTTTTGAGCTTGAATCTGGCACTTGGAATGAAATTTGGAATCTATTAAATTAAATTTGGAATCTGTTAATTGGTAATCTGTTTTGAGCTTTAATTTGTTGTGTTGTAATTTGGTTGAGTTTAATATGTTATTAACATGCTTTTATGTTGTTGCTTTTGTGTTGTGTTGTGTTATAGATGGAGTTATAGATGGAGTCTAGCCACTCTAACACACCTAATGCCTCTAATTCCCTAAACATTCGAATCGGTTTTTACCGTTAATTCGCAGTAACCGACTGCTTTTCGGTTTCAAAAATCACCATACCACAAATAGTCGGTTGGTTTGCGGTTTGAACTTATAAACTCCTCCTCAAGCTAAGATAAAGCCTAGTCACCAAATTGTAAGCATGAGCTGTCCAAATGCATGGTAATGCATCAACTAATTTAATGGAAAAAGCCACCTCCAACATACTAATTTAAATATATCTCCAAATTAAGATAAGAGAACAATCTTTCTCTCCAAGAAAACAATGTAAGAATGCCACGTCTAAACTCCTAATCCATGTTATTAATATATATGTATATAAAGCACCCAATAACCATCTAATAGCATCCAAGGAATAATGAACAAATATATAATTTAAACAAACCTTTTTCATTCGAAAGAACATATGTATATATACACACACACACACACAATTTAAATACGTACTGTAACAATTCACAAACCAGGTGCTACACGTCTCATAATAATTTCACCAAATTACGTGTTGGTTCACCAAATACAATAGGAGAATCAAACCCACTAATTAGAATCCATGGTAGCTCTCGAACTGCAAGAGGCACAGTGCAGTCATAAGTGTGTCGCGGTTTCGGTCTTGAATTCATTTCATAATCTCGAACCCAATATGCATTCAACTCTTTCAGTTGCTCATATTTTGCATGAATTGGGCAAGAAAAATGCAGGAGTCATGCAACAAGTTTCCTATTTATCCCTAGGACAACACTTTTATGATAATCTCCAAGAAAGCCGAATAATACTCGATCCACTTTCTCATTATGCTCATAAGTGTATTTATGGTCACAATTGCACCAGAGAGAGACCAATGTATGTGGAAGATATTTAGTCATAGCATCGTAATGATCAAAAAACACTTTTAGAACCTGGTGGGAATAAATCTTAGTACAACCAAATGGTCTCACCTCAGTCACGCGGATAAGACCACCACTCATTAGATCAACAATTGCTGCATATAGTAAAGTTTGTTTCAGAAGTTCTAACAATTCTTCTCTACTGCTGCCTTTCCCGTGAGATAGATAATATTCAAAAGTGAAATGTCTACCTGTTCCATTCTGATGTGTTGCGAAGACACAATCTTTGTTGGTGTGGATTCGAGGGGTACAGCTTATGACACTAATGCATTTATCTTGACTGAAAAAGCGAAAAAATTATTCAAAATCCAGTACAACATAGTTGCGACAATTGCAGAAGATTCCGGTCAATGTGAAGCATTGATAACTTATGTGAAAGACATAATGGAAAATGCAATGGACATAAATGGGGGAGTAGCTGGAGACATCCATCGTGCAGCAACATTAGCCCAAGAATATATCCGAACATGGAAATCAGTGTTTAGAAAGCCATTTATCGGGTCTGTTCTTATAATTGGATGGGAGAACGGTAATAAGAGTTTTCGTCGGTATAATTACCTCGTTATTATACATAGAGGTATATTAACGAGGTAAATATAAGGACGAAAGCTCTCATTATTGTTCTCCTATCCAATTATAAGAACAGACCCGAGAAATGACTTTCTAAACACTGATTTCCATGTTCGGATATATTCTTGGGCTAATGTTGCTGCACGATGAATGTCTCCAGCTACTCCCTCATTTATGTCCATTATATTTTCCATTATGTCTTTCACATAAGTTATCAATGCTTCACATTGACCGGAATCTCCTGCAATTGTTGCAACTATGTTGTACTGGATTTTGAATAATTTTTTCGCTTTTTCAGGCAAGATAAATGCATTAGTGCCATAAGCTGTACCCCTCGAATCCACACCAACAAAGATTGTGTCTTCGCAGCACATCAGAATGGAATAGGTGGACATTTCGCTTTTGAATATTATCTGTCTCACGGGAAAGGCAATAGTAGAGAAGAATTGTTAGAACTTCTGAAACATGTTTTACTATATGCAACAATTGTTGATCCAATGAGTGGTGGTCTTATCTGTGTGACTGAGGTGAGACCATTTGGCTTTTCTAAGATTTATTCCCACCGTGTTTTAGAAATGTTTTTTGATCATTACGATGCTATGACTAAATATCTTCCACATACATTGGTTTCTCTCTGGTGCAATTGTGATCATGAATACACTTATGAGCATAATGAGAAAGTGAATGGAGTATTGTTCGGCTTTCTTGGAGATTATCATAAAAGTGTTGTCTTGGGGATAAATAGGAAATTTGTTGTGCGACTCCTGCATTTTTCTTACCAAGTTCATGCAAAATATGAGCAACTGAAACAGTTGAATGCATATTGGGTTCAAGATTATGAAATGAATTCAAGACCGAAATCGCGACACACTTATGACTGCACTGTGCATCTTGCAGTTCGAGAGCTACCATGGATTCTAATGAGTGGGTTTGATTCTCCTATTGTATTTGGTGAACCAACACGTAATTTGGTGAAATTATTACGAGACGTGTAGCACCCAATTTGTGGATTGTTACAGTACGTATTATTGGTTCCACATTAGTTCTTCTGCTTTATTTGCAGTATACAACTCTTTCCACATTATCTCTAAACGAGTCAAACTTACACAACTTAACGAGTTCATGAATTATCCTTCTTATTAGTGTTTAATCTTTGAACATCTTGCTTTACTATAATTTCAAAATCTTTCATTACATTATGTTCACAAGATTAGGGATCCAGGACTTATTATATCTACTATTATGTAACTTGGAGGGAGCACAAATTATTTGAGTCCAATCGAATAATTTCTGTCGCTTAGCCTTTGGTAATGCCACATATATTGCTTGTAAGTTTGGAAAATTCCCCTGAAAAGGCCAGCTATTTTGTTAATGAATTGGGATAAGATATCAAGAACCGAAAAACAACATGTATAATATAGAGAAAAAAGGAGAGTAAGCTTATAGCTTGTACCAGCCAAAAGCGACCAAGCTGTGGAAGACGACACGGAGATGGAGTGGCACATACTGGTGATTTATCCAACCCAGAGCAGGCCAGAACTGCATTTTCATCCGTCAAGGTTTAAAATGTGTTATGTTTCCTGATGTTGTCTTAGTAAAAAAAAAAAAAAAAAACAATCAAAAAATGAATGGAATTATACTGTCCACGATGTGTAGTGCACTGACAGCTAGTCCTTAATTTTATTCTTCGCATGCATCCCGGGTCTTCCTGCATTTCACACAATAAGCAGCATAGTCCACATGCTAACATGCCTCTTGCAGGCTGACTATCTTTGAAACTTTCAGAGTTTTGACTAATTATATTACAATATGATATACAAGTCATACAACGCTTATATCTTAATCAAATTTAAGGGTTGATAGGAACTACTGTATTTCTCACATGCCAACATGTCAAACATAAACAATTGATGATCACAAGTTATGATATTATAAGAGGAATACTAGCAACCTTCTCTTTAACCTTCTCTTTTGGATATTCTCATTGCTCCCCATGACAAATGTCATTTTCCTTACACTTAAAACAATGTCATTAATGCATAACACAAGTTAGTTTTTGTTTTTCAAGTTTACCCTCTTAAAATGTATTGGCTTTTATATTTCCTTCAATTTATTCAAATTTTGTTACAACTTCTTTAGCACATTATTAAAAAGGGAGTTTCACTAAAACACCCAAAATGGGGGCTGAAATTATAAAAAAATCCAACACACAAAACACTTTATAAACACACCCAAAACCCTTACACACACTCAAAACCCATTTATAAACACACCCAAAAAATATACAATTGTTGATTTTGGGTGTGTTTCTATGTTTAAATAGTGTTTGGGTTTTTTTATAAATACATGTCTAGGATTGGATTTATTTATAAATTTGTATATTAAAATTAAATAATAATAAATAAAGAAAGGAAAAACATCATTTTTTTTTCTTTAAAAATAAAGTTTGTTTCAAGATGATGTTATCATCTTTATTTTTTTTAAAACAAAACAGACGTTCTCTTTGGGGGGAAAAAAAACTTTAGTTTTTATTTTCTTATTTAATTTTTTTAACAAGGTGGTAAGAAAGTTGTAAAAAAAAAATTAGCTTGTTATTAAAAAAAATTAATACATTTAATAAAGGTAAACTTGGAAAACAAAAACTAGTTTGTATGATGTATTAATGACATTGTAAGTGTAAGGAAATTGACACTTGTTATGAGAAGAAGAGAGAATATCCAAAAGAGAAGGTTAGAGAGAAGGTTGCTAGCACTCCCCATTATATAATTACTCTCCACAACCAAGCCATAGTAATTTGATTAGGAATTTTAGAACGACCAATGAATTCTTCTTTATGAGCACAACCCTCTTGGTTTAAGAAGAGGAAGAGATCAGAAGTTATGGCACTTAAATAACGATGGCTGTAATTAATATGAAGTGTAGGATGGATTTCTCAACCAAAAACCAGAGCGTGATGGCAAGTAGAGTAGCCTTACCATCTTGGCTACTGTTTTTGAATCCTTCTTCCCCTTGAAAATATTATCAAGTAGTAAATGCAGGAAATGCCCAAATGGTCCAAGATAAACAGCTCCAACAAGCTGCATGCGGAAATGCAAGGTTACAATGGAAAACACATGTAATATTACTTGTACACATCAAAATTGACATATTAGCAATAGACAATTATGCTTACAGCAAAAATTATAGTCTCTTCTTTCTTTCAGCACATTAATACTTTAGGGCCAAGCTAATGGAGTCCTGAAGATCCGCCCAAACTTCTTAGAGATACAGAATCTACTAAGAAAAACAAAAGCGCACATATCACCCAATAATGATTGTAATTATGATGCATAATGAGTTTTAGTCATCATGCCTGACAACAATGCTGTATATTTTGCATTTTATCACGTTACTGGAATATTTTATATGTTTGCTACACTAGATTGTAAAAGGGGTTAGTGATGCTATCTTCTTTTACTGCATCATGCCTTAATCCAAAAACCCAGGTCAGGGGTGTGATTTGCAGGGTGAGGTTATAGGCATCCACCTAATTGAAATGCACTGCAGTGTAAATCATGTGTTATGTTGGTCTTTCAGACCAAATCTAGCTGAAAACGTATTCTAATTAAGGTCGAACAATGGCTATGAGTTTAGGCAAATGAAATGTGTGCGTGTATGTGTGACAATGATCTAACAGAAAGAGCATCAGTAAGCTACAGTTGGAAATTGGGATTTTCCCATTCATTTAGCTTAACTGCTTAGTACCCAATTATACAGAATAGAAGAAAGGAAAACACAGTTGCGAGCGCACACAGATACACAAATCAAATATACAGAATATTCTGTGTAATTGGAAAACCAAGAAACCGAAAAATAAAATGGGGAGCTTACCACTTTAAGAAACAGACGTCTTAACTGATGTTTCTGAACCCCGGTGAGCTTCCGAGACACACTGTCACTGATCGCTGACAAAACCCCACTGTAATTGCCAGTTGGAATAAGAAAATAAGAAAAGAAGGTATCACCAAAAATTCCCAATTAACAGCATTTGATGGCTAGGACCTCAGAGAAACTAAATTATCACAAGCACCAGTCATAATTGAGTTTAAAAGACAATATCTTTGAAAACTCAAATGAGAAAACAACCTAAACTTTCAGAAATTCTTTTCTTTTTTGGCTTCCTTCAACTTTCTGGGAAACTAAGCAGGAGTTTAAACGGAAAACAGAGTAAATCAAAGTAAACCCTTTTAAAAATTGGACTGAATCAAACAACCCAAGTGATATTAACAGAGTAAATCAAAGTAAACCCTTTAAAAAATTGGACTGAACCAAACAACCCAAGTGATATTAACAGAGACATGGGATTTGACCTTAGTTCTGAGACGATGATGCTGATACTGAAGCAAGTACTGCAGCAACCCTTTCTTTGCAATCGACCCCGTGCTTTCCTTGTTACAACAAAGTCTTCCAATGGCAATTCTTGAGAGGAACTAAAACTGTTTGCACTTCTCAGTTTATAGTTTGGAGGCAATATCTGACTGCGAGTCGGAGATGTTTGTATTGTAATTTCTAATTTGTATGGTCTTGCATTGAAACCTTCTCCCAAGCTTAGGGGGTGTATTCAATTAAGATTTTAAAAGAGTTAAATGGAGTTATAAAGTTTGTAGAGTTCAATGTAGTTCAATTGATTTCTATCAACTCCACATTGATTTTGATGCTACTTGTTAGAGTTTTATCATAGATTTTAAAAGAGTTGATTAGAGTTCTAAAATATATTTTTTTCTTTTTTTTCTTTTTTTTTGGGGCTGCTTATCGTTTTTCTAGATTTTCAAAAGATAAAAGTACATTTACAAAAACATTTGAGCTATTGAACTTCCGAATCAATACATCCAAAGAAAATTAAAAAAAAAGGGCATCTAATTTGTTCAAATGTGCATCCAAATAAGGGCTTATGTTTGCATGTTTATGAAAAATGCTCAAAAGTAAAAACATAAAAGTAATTTCATGACAAAAAAATGATAAGTAAACTATAATTCTAAATGCATAAAAACGGAAAAGTACCATCATGGACAGTGGGGAGTGGGCTTTTTGGAGTTGTTTGCTAGAAATATCTACTTCTTTTTGGAGTGGCCCGTCATGGAAATATACTTAATTCTCACAAAGTCCAGTACAGTGGGAGCAAATACAGGTTGTTTTCATTAAAATGCTTAACCAAGCCCTAATTGAAATTGAATTGTTCGGCACCAAGAAGATTGTTACAAAACTTAAAATGATTAAGAGTAGTTACCCTGCTCTCGAGCCTTGAGTCCCGAGTCCCTTCCCTAATATCGTTTTTAATAAAAATAAAAATAAAAACTTAACATGCTAATGTGTGTTCTTTAATTTAATTGGGAGCAAGAAAAACTTGCTGCATAGCAACTTCCTTCTCCCTCGGTTATGCCTTGGGTTAATGAGGGAAACACATTCCAAATTATCTGCAGAAAGTTGCACAGCATTCTAAAGTAGCGACCACAACCATACTTAATTATTTACTTATTATAATTGCTTACAGAAAAACATGACTGAACACATATTCGTACATAAGTTTTCATAAGTTTTCAAGGAAAAACACAACAGCCAAGAACATCTTTCAAATTTTCAAACACCTGATGATGCCATCATGCCAACTCTGTCAAGTCGATATGTATAGAATTTCTGATGCTTCTTTTATCCCTCTTGATCTGGAGGAGCTTGTCAAAGACACACCATGGAAAGCTTACGAAACGCTCTCTTCCCGTTCCCTCCTTGTAGCAACGAACGAAGTAACGAGGATGATAAGTAACGTAGTACCACGCTGATGCTTTTGCTGCACATGCATCATCGCCATCGGTGCTGACATTCAACTGAAATTCGCTTCCCTGCTTCTCATAAAACCATCCCCTAGCTTCCTTCTTCAATGACCTTACCGCGAGACCAATATTTGCTTTCAAGTCCTTTCTTGTATCGAAACATTTGGATGTTTGAGCGAAAGTCCCACTTAGTATTTCGGCTTCACTTTTGATGCCGTAATATTCCATCAGGTTTTGCAGCTTGCAGTCATACTCACGTCTGTAACGGATGGCCTCATTGATGTAGAGCTTAAATCCATCTACCTCCATGTCAGGGTCATAACATTTCTTAGCCACTTCCGCAGTGAAGGACTTAATATTAGAGCTTGAACATGAATGAGATACAAGCTCAACATGCTCCTTCACCTGTCGGAATAGCTTCCCGATCACTCCTTTGGACTCGTAGGTGGGTTTGTCAAGCTTTTCCATGAAATCTGGGTATTCCTTGGCACGCAGACGACCCGGCATTTTGACTAGCTGACCAGTTTTCGGAGAGTCAACAGCGATGGAGTTGAGCTTGGCGAGATCTTTACACGGAGCACTCATAGCCTTGTCTGGCTCTGTGTCTGCAAAGACAGTATGAGCAGTTGAAATGATCCCCAAGTTGTCGTTGACTATGTAGTTTGTAAAAGACTCCTCAACTTCCTGTAACAAACACAGTATAACATCAAGTGTAAAAGGAAATATGTTAGAATATATGCATGATATAATTTTACTTGATAAACTCAGAGTCATATAATATACCTCCAGTGTAACATCATGATCCAATTGCACAGTTCGTGCCGGGGAATAATTCATGGGTTCAATTTGGCGAGGAGGAATTAGATCAGGGTCCCAACTCACTAAGTACAAATCTCCATCCAAATCACCTCCTGAGCATTCATTAGGATGTGGTCTAATTTGATGGCAAAGCAAATAGTCAGTAAATAGTTCAAGCAATCTGAAACAGGTTTATAATTTCATCAAATGCAAAGTTACCTCTTTCCTTTCTGCGGGAAAACAACACAATCCACCAGGTGGTGCAATGCAGGCACATTGACAGCCATAAGAACACGCATGTCCCCCGGGTGTAAACACGGGTTTTTAGCCACTACTACTTTTCCCTTGACAATAAAACTGTCTTCGCTTGAACTGCTGCCACTGATGATATGGGAGGAAGCATCATAGAATTGTCGGCTGCCACGGTGAGAGCATTGCACAAATACCTGACCGTATTCCAATGTGCCGGTTTCATCAAGACATCCCATCATAGATCTTCCGTTTGGGACAAATATCCTTGTTTTGCTTCGCAGTTTCTGGAGCTTTTCTGCGGAGTATGCATGTAGCATCATGGCCAGAAATGGTTCTGCATCTGGTGTGTAACCACACAAAACCATTTCCTTTAAAATGTTGATGACCTCTCCCTGAAACAATAATTCCATCGTTTTCTGTTCTCTCAATGGATCAGCTAAAACGCCATCCAATTGATTCAAAACCTGTTTTTGCTTTTCCATAAAAACGTCATCTGGAACTCCGAGGGTGGACAGAAGGGTAATCACTTCTCGATTAAGGAAGTAAGGCTGGTACTTGCTCCATTTCAGAACATCTAGTGTTGTGTTGTTGGATTGGTACTTGCACATGCTCTTTCTCAATGACAAGTTCTTTGACAATGTTGGATCAACTGCCAGAACACCTTTATAGCCACCATATCGAATTTGGAAGACAGATGGAGTACGACTTAACTCGAACTTTCTTGCCACCCTTGCAGCACAGTCAGCAGATATTTTCCCAATTCCATCAGAAAAGCAATACTTAACTCCATCCCTTTCAATTTCTACATCGGGAATGAGTTCAACTTCATCCTCACCAACACTAAAAGCCTCCTTGGAAGAGCTGAAAGACTGACCAAGCCTGGCAGCATGTTTTGCCACATTTCTAATCTCCTTAAAATCACCCATCCAGTTTCTGATGTCTTGTGCTGTGAGCTCACTTCTTGAAGCAAACATCCACACAGAATGACCTCGTAATTGACTTGATGAAAAGGCAAGAAACTCAAACTTCTTCTCACCAATAACTATGCCATTTTTTAGGATAGAAAGTATCCTTTCATGGACTCTAGTTGGCCTTTCTTGAATTGTTGAACGCATACATAAATCTTCTGAATGCATCTTGCTCAAGTCCTCATCAACGAAAGATACACGAAGAAAGTTATCAACATCTTCAGGATACTTTCGGAAAAGGCGATTCGAATGATTTATCTCTGGACCACAGAAATATACTTTAGATGGTGTTATTTGAACCCTGTGTACATACACCAGCCCATCATCCAAAGAAATAGCAGGTGTTTTGGCAATTCGCTTGCTTGCCTGGTGCTTTTTGTACTGGTTTCTAAGCCAACTCACGGGTTCATAGCAGCACACTTTTAAGTGAAATAGTATCTCCAGGGCACACTCTATATATTCAATTGTTATTCTACTAGGATCAACTAGCTTATAAAATTTGACATCAAGTGCTTGCCCAGGAACACATCCATACTGCACCAAGGAATTTATCTTGAACAGGACTTTATATGGCAACTTAATGCTTAGGGGTGGACTCACCATAGGAACAAGATCTGAGCTACTGGAGAAACCGTTGCCTCTCTCCAGAACGAACCGTCCTTCATATTCTTTATAATGAACAAAAGTGCTGCCTAGATTTGGAAGCATCCACCTAAGTGGAAGCTCCAAACATACAGCAGAAGATTGCCCAATGCAGCAAGCTGGAGTGAAATCAACTTCTCGAACCCAGTAATTATCAGAAGCTTCCTTTTTCTTGTTCTTAACAGGGACACCTTTCTTATAAATCCGAGGCGCACCACGTAACTAGCAGGAGGAAGAAGGAAAGGAAGAGAAAAATGTTAAAAATCTTCCTCCCCCCCCAAAAAAAGAGCCACGCATAATATAGTAATTGTTTTATGTTTAAGGAAGATCAAAGCCTGTTTCAACAGCATTCAAAGCAAGTATAGAAAGGATGCATGGCAGATTAATATATACTAGAACAGGGGAACCAAACCTTGATGAGAAGAAACTTTGCAAGTTGATCACATGGACTATGTAGCTCAATCTGGTTAACATTGTCATAGGATATTTCTAGCTTATATTCAACAGAATCATAAGAGAAAAAGAAGTAGAAATGTTTAAGTATCATCCCAAATTTCACTGAAACATCGGATAGTGTCCAAAGCACAGAAAACCGTTCCTTAGAAATCTGGCATCCAAAGTGTAGCTTTACAAGTTCCATGCTAGGTTGCAAGGTTTGTGAGTCAGGTACCATGTCAAACTTCATTTCTGTAGCTTTCACATTTGATTTCCCATACGGCACATTTTGTCGAAGATGATCTCCGGCTAATTTCAGTATCATTTCAGCAAACTCTGCATGTGTGAATTGAACCATGGCAGATGCTCTTGTTTTTCCATCTTTGTGGAAGACCTTCACAGCATAAACAGTGCCTTTTCCAGTATGTTTCTCCACAAACTCTGTCACTGCTTCTGGGGACTGAACACAGCAAAATCCATACAACTCAACTGTCTTAACCATATTGACTAATTGATGGCAACTTGTGTATCTGCGAAAAACAATTGAAATTAATAGCTGTGAAGAACTAAAGTGAAAGTAAAATCTAAAAGGAAAAAAAGAAGAAAAAAGAAGCTAATGCAAATGAGAGAACGAGTCGCACCCTGAATTTGAAATGTAAGCACTCAGATACCACCAACTGCTAGCTATGTGAGAAGAAAATTGATTAGGCCCATGAAGCCACTATATGTAGAAAAGAGAAGAGGACAGAGGTGTGAGAGGTTCTTAGCCTTTCAGTCCATCTCACACACAGTAAATAACTTGTCATGGTAATTCTAGCAGAAGGAAAAAAAAAAAAAAAAAAAAAAAAAAAAACACTTGGCATGTTATTTCCATGTGTCCTGTGCAACGAAATATAGAGCAACGAATGTCATGATTCCCTACTTCGCGGTAATAACATTGTAAATGTTCCTCCTAATGTGAAGATTACGTGACGAGGTATCAAAAAAAGGTAGTGATTTTTCACGTTCTCATTGTATCCATTCGCACTCCTTTCCCTTTACTTTTATACTTTGGTAATTGAGTAAGCAAAAGAAAAATCAAAATATAAAAACAAGGGGACAAGTGCAAATGGACAGAATGAAGGAGAGTGTGAGAATAGCTATTGTAACATTATTTGTTTTTAGAATACTTGGGATTTTGTTGTTAAGAGTTTATTAATCAAATTGGTTTTATACCGTTTTACTCTTGACTGGGAGGAGGAATCAGATTACTTCCTTTCTAAAAGCAGTACTAGGCTAGACTACTTTTTGGAAAGATGGAACTTGCTCACTAAGGTAAGACAGATGGAGCGGTCCACCACCCACCACGAAAATTCTATACAAATTTATAAATAAACCCAATCCTAGACATGTATTTATAAAAAAACCCAAGTACTATTTAAACATAGAAACACACCCAAAATTAACCCCAAAGTCAACTTTTTGGGTGTGTTTATAAATGGGTTTTGAGTGTGTGTAATGATGGGTTTTTGGTGTGTTTATATGTTTAAATAGTGCTTGGGTTTTTTTATAATTTCAACCCCCATTTTGGGTGTTTTAGTAAAACTCCCAAAATTCTAATCCTCCTAGTTAGGGGGAGAGGGCTGTTTTGAAATTGCATTGGGATTTGCCAAGAACCTTCTGCAAATTTTGGACCTAAAGTGAATGGGAATAGTATAGATGCCTCGAATGCATTGAAATACCTCTCCACATGAAGGTCACTTGGTCAAAACTTAACAGAATTTGGAGGAATTTAACAGAAATTGAAACGTGTTCTTGAATTGCTCCAATTAGAATTATAAGGATAAAATTGACAAAATTAAAATCATGATGATTAAAATGATAAAACCGACAAACTGTAGGAAAAAAAGAAGAAATAATAAACAACTATGAACCCAAATGGGCCGGCCCACATTATGTGGCGGTGGAGTCCATTACGAATCCACCAGCACCCGCCCTAGCAAACCGAAACGAATTCAGATATTCCAATCAATCAAATTCAAACAGAAGAAGAAGAAAGCTAAGTCACTGCCAACGATCTCAATCCTGAAATTGCAGAAATGGCGGAGGAGGAGACGAAGAAGAGAAGTGTGGTGGTGGAATCCTTGGGATGGCTAACGGAATCTTCAATAATGCCCAAGAAGCACCGCGCCATCGCCGGCGTCGGTGCCTCCTCGATAATGGAGCTCAAGGCCCAACTCTATAAGTCGCAAGAAGACTCCAAGAAGTCCAAGGAACTCGCCGGCTCAGAAGTCGAGTTCCACCGCGCCAAGAAGAAGATCACCTCACACGATCCCTTGTCCGCCAAGAACTCCGGCGTCGATGCCCGGGCCCACAAGTACGTATTTTTCTTTCTTTTTACGCAATTTTTGTTTCTGGGTTTAATTTCCATTTCCTTAATTATGCGTAATTTGCTAGTATTGGTGTAATTCTGGGTTAAGGTTCATTTTGGTATCTAGGGTTCTTACTGTTGTCTGAGTATAAATTATGAGTCTTTTGGGTGCTGCTTAGATATAAGATGAAATTTTTGAGCTCTCTGTTTTGGAAGGTTTGAATTTTATCGTCCGCTGCCAACAGTTTCTTGTGCTTCTTACAATATGAAGAACTTTAAGGATAGTATCCCTAGTCTTTAATTTGGCTTCCTGATAAGATCAATTTTGTGTTTTGGTTGGTTTATATTCAGAGACAAGCTTGAGCTCAAAGCAGTTAATGATGGATCAGCTAGCTATGCAGCATTGGAGAGGAAGGCCGCATTGTATGATAAGCTAGTAAAGGGGGAGCTATCAGATGAGGAAGATAAGGGGAAGTATTGTGTGGATTTTTTTTGCAAGAGAGTTGACCAGGACGAACCGCAGCAAACTCAGCATCATGATTCGCCTGCTGTAGTATCTTCGGAGAATCAAGATGGTGAGAGTGATGCTTCCATGCTGTTTAGCATGAAACCGTTGGGGCTTGGGCGAGCAGCTGCAACAATGGACAATGATGTTTACAAGAGTTTTGTGAGGTAACAATTTCAAATTATTCCAGTATAACTTATCTATGCTGTATGAAAGTTTAGTTAACCAAAAGTAATCAAATAATTAAAGGATTTCATCACTTCATTTTATTTATGCTATTGTTATTCTTCAGTGATGCCACTTTCTATAATAATCTGGAGACTTTAACATTTAGCCACTGTAATTTGGTTGTTGCTGCTGTTACTCATCTAAGCCTCTAAGGTGAAGTGGTTGAGCAGAGACTCATATTTGGGCTGCGGGTTGGGTAGTAGAACTAGAATCTCTCTGATATTGATGAGTTTCTTAAGCTGAATACTTTGGACCTCTCTTATTCCTGTACAATGTCTTGAGTGCCAGGCCATAGATAGAAAGATGCCCTGCAGGAAATGAGCTGAATAAACCTGGGTTTGAGACGAATCCTGCTAAAGGATAAAATAATATAGCTTTAGACCTAAGCTTTAGAGACAAAAGCTAGGAATCTGGTTCATCAATAAATGAAAGTATGATTTGGCTTAGGTTTTTTCTCCCATTTTGCTATGTCTGTTTATTAATTAGTTTCTCCATTTGTGTAGTATGTTTCTTATTGCTTGATTTTAGTACTTTATAGTTCTGGCAACGGATACTGATTGCTTGATTGAAATCTCTATGCTCCTGGCAACAGTCATCTCATGATTTTCACTCTTGTGTTCCTTTTCTTTAGGGAAGTACACGAAGAAGCAAATGTAGCGAGAGAGAAGGCATCTGAGCTCAAACAGCGCAGGGAAGAACAAGCAGCGGCTCGTCGTGAGAAGTTAAAACAGGCATATATAAGGAAACAATTGGAGAAACTAAAAGCAGCGTCCAACAAGGAACAGACATAATAGGCAGCAGGAGGCGGTTTCCACAACATTATTCTAGCAGTCATCTTGAACTCACAACGAGCATAATCATATGACAGTTTTTGAGTCCTGTTGTTCACTTCAGGGTTACTATTTAATAGGAAGAAAAAAATTTCAATCAATTTAATCCCACAAAGTGGCTCTGTTTGTAGTTTCTTCATGTTTGTACTTTTGTACAGTTATTAACATTACAAGAAAATTACCATTAAGTCTGGAGCGAGATTGCTAATTCACAATCAGTTTTTCAGTTTAAACTCTGTGTCTTCTGAATTTTGGGACAATAGTTACTCATGAAGATTTGGACAGTCTTGTTACACATAATTTGTTTGGTAGCAAAAGAAATTAAAGATATAAAAATGTAACAAATTTGAGGGAAACATGACAGAGGGCTAGCATTAAATGTAGAATAAATGAGGTGAGAAAAAAAAAATGATGTCAGAAGTGGGATTTGAACCCACGCCCTCTTTCGAAGACCAGAACTTGAGTCTGGCGCCTTAGACCACTCGGCCATCCTGACTGATGGTTATAATGCTTCAAAATAAATAACTTAAGTAACTACAATGGCATTACGAGATGATAAAAGTAAAAATATTTAAAAACAAAAATCCCGACGACTCTGCTGGGGATCGAACCCAGAATCTCTGGTTCCGTAGACCAGCGCCTTATCCATTGGGCCACAGAGTCGCTTGTTGGTATCCTAGCTTTGTAATCATATTTGTAGGAAGGTAGAATAAAGGCAAGTTACTTCACAACCCTTAAAAAAATCGAATCTTTAAATGAACTAATATAGTTGTAATTACCTTGAATTAAAATTATTCTTCTTAATAATTTTTATATATATATATATTTTTTCATGAGGCAGATAAATAAAAGAATTTTTTTAAAAAAAGAGAGAGTAAAATGGTCAAAATTCAACTTAATTAAACAAACCCCACCAAGAAAAAAACGTAATATAACATAATTAAACAAAGCACTAGCAATGCATGCATGAGAAACTGAATAGCTCTACGTGTCCTGCGTGCACATTACTGACACATCCACCGCAACATCAAAACCTATGCCTCCTCGCCACCTTTCACCACAGCCTCCTCTTCCACCTCCACCTCTTCATCATCCACCACTTCCCTCACACTAAACGACAAAGACTCCCTCCTCACCAAGAACCTCCCTGTCGGCGGGACCCACATGTTCAGCAACCCTTGGGGCCTACCGGACGGCCTCCACACTTGCACCGTCATGCACTGCACCGGATTATCCGCCGGCTCCCGCTCGTCCCCGCCCTTCAAAACGTCGCACAGCAGCACCCGGGCGCTGCCCACCGGCTTCTCCCTCACGTGCCCGTGCGCGTAGATGTCCACGTTCAGCGCCGCTAGCACGTCGTTCTCCAGCAGGTCCTCCCGGAACTTCACCTTGACGACCTCATTCCACGTGGGGTTGGTCCCGCCCTGCTCGTCCACGCCCGTCCTCGCCGCGTGGTATTCCTTCTCCACGTACACCACCGCGTACGCTCTCACCTGCGTCACGTGCTTCACGTCCTTCAGGTCTTGCGCCGAGATTATCAGCACTTCTATTTCTCGGAGCTTTGTTGTCGACGCCGGCACGACTCGCCGATATTTCGGCTGACAGTGACTCATTTCTTAGTCTCTAGAGAGAGAAAGTCGAGAGTTGTTTTTTGGGTCAAAAGAAAGTAGAGTTTGAGCTCACTCAAATAGATGTCATGTTTGTGGATAGTAAATGGCTTTGTAAATACTTGCTTAGTCAAGATGTATTCTTACTCTCAACCTGCCTGAGTTCGAATCCTCTTTCAATTAAATTAAAGTAAATTATCATTTGTATAAAAATAAATATAGTAAATAAGCTTTAATGATGGGCCCAAATTCTAGTATCCCAAAACAAACAAATTGTAACGATAAGTTATAATGAGGGAGTCCGACCAATTACAAAGTTATTATTGGGCGACAAAACCCCTCAACACAACCGCTCAACATAAACTCATAGAAGCTCCCGAAAATGGGCTTTAATTTGGATGGGCCCATTTGCTAGTATGTGGGCTTTAATTTGTGGCCCAAAAGGCCCTAATAATGTGTGTACAGCACAAAGCTCAAAATGTCACATGCATGGCACTGAAAATTATTCAAATATTCGAAGCAATTGTCTGGAAAGAGTGATTCCGCTAATCTTGCAATTTGAAAGACAGGCTGGTACAGGATTTAAATGAAAGGGCACAACACCACCCTCAAATGATTTTGTTTGTGGTTGAAGCAACACAATGTGGCAGCTGGCAGATTCCTATTGGCTTAACTCCATAAAACCCTCCCTATAAAACCCAATTAAGCATTCTCATTTTCATCAAACCAAAACCATAACCCACTTCTACACTTCTGCTTATTACAGATCATTAGCACTGCCTCGTTACTTCTAGTTGCTAATTGAGAATTAGTGATCAGAAAAAAATGGAGGGTTGCAAATTGGCCATGGTTTTCACCATCTACACGATTGTTCTTGTGAGCTTCGCTTCTTTCGGGGCCACGGTTGCTGCTGAAGATGCTGCTGCGCCATCACCAATGGAAAGCACAGCAGCAGCTCTGGGTGTTCCTGCTGCACTAGGTGCCATGGCTTCTCTGCTGGCTTGGTTCTTTTAAACTTGTTCATTTGATTCCATTATTTGCTTGTTCATTTCTTTTTGAAGTGCCGTTCAATATGATGAACTAAATTTGATTCAAGAAATCAGGTCCATAATGTTACTACTTTTGCCAATTATTGTTAGATTTAATGCCAATTCTTTCATCTATGTTAAGAAAGGAGGACAATGGAACAATAATCCGTTGCCAGATTCATATATACCAAAGTAACTAAAAGAAATGATAATGCAAAAGGAACACTATAGGCAAGCACATATATATCTTCCATGAGAAGGCTACTAGAATTTGGGATACTAATATACCAACATAATAATCTAGAAGCAATCTCAGTGAGTCAAAGCTCACCGTTGCTTGATGGAGCCGAAAAGATCCTCATACGAACGCTTCGGGGCATCAGGACGCGAAACAATCTCCACAACCTTGTAAGATGCTTCTGGATTTACTAATGCCTCTATAGCTACTTCTGCAACCAGATCTCTGGAGATACTGCCATCAGAAAGAGTGTCCTACCAAGAGAGATCAGAAAGAACATTAAGTTAAAGCAATTCAGCTTTTAGTAACAAAACTAAATGGGGAAAAATTGTCACAGATTGTGTTACCTCTGGCTCCATCACAAGGTTTCCTGTGGGAGGATCATTTTTCAACCCCCCAGGCCTTATTATTGTATAGTTTATACCAGATTTCCTGATATATTGCTCTGCCTGAAGCTTTGCTATTAAGGTCAGTCCAAAAACATTAAGGAATATGTAAGCTGGATTGAGAATCTGCCCCATTGCTGCTCCGTTGACTAAGATGGAACTGACAAGAATAAATCTGTTCACACCAAGTTTACGGCACGCTTCAACAAGGTTGACTGTGCCAAAATTATCAACCTGTATTGAAATAACCTTTTTCAGACATCAACATATTATCAAATAGCACAAAGTACACCAGAGAAAAAACAAATGCAGATGTGCAATTCTAGGACTATCAAATATCTGAGTTGTGCATATATAGAACCATTAAATATTAGTGGCATAAGAATAGAAATCTGTATTGAAGTAAAGGCGAAGTGTGCACTTGTTTTCCACTAGATGTTTGAGCAATGAATGTTCCTTCAATTACTAGCCAGAGGCTAATTCTCCGGATTCCACAGACATATATTTCAAGCAACACTCAATTGCTAACATAAAAGTAATGCAACAAATGTATAGGGAGGTGCAATGAACTGCAACATTGCTATAAGATTGTATAACAAATCTGTTTTCTTCTGCGGGTTGCTCAGCCTCAAGTAGAAGGTTGTGCAAACTTTATGTTTAACTGCCCGTAAATGTCTAAAGTGAAAATCTTATGATACATACCGATTAAAAAACAAACACATAATAACTTAAAACCCCAGAACGGTGACTCTTCTAATGAAGAAGCTGTTAATCAAATTATTTCCTGACCAGAACCAGTGTCTGATGGCACAGTCTATGAACCTTGTTAATCATCAAGAGAGGCCTCATTCAGTAAAAGTTTTCCACTAGATGTTACTTTCTCGGATAATGATTAGACAACTAGAATAATACATCATTAAAATCAACCTACTTTAGCTATTGACCTGCTCTCGGATAAAGATTACACACCAATATGCATTTAACTCCTAACAAAATCTACCAACTCATGACATTTGGTTAAGATTGACTTAAACAAATAACCCCTTTGCATAATTACCTCAATCGAAAATTAAAGGACTTCATAAAGATAAAATTTGCACCACAAAGTGAAGGAAATAGATGCTAATTGCACAGATAAACAATCAAAGTGACCTTCCATGGAGCAAACAAATCCCATCCATAGCTAAATCCTGTGGCACAAATTACTGCTTCCGAATCATCACTTATTGCTTCTGCTAGCTTGGCAGAACCCTCTGTCACATCTGCTTTCACCTATACAAACAAACACAAGAAGAAATTTCATCCAAAACCCAATAAAGTAATCATTCCCAAAAACAGAAGAGACCCAATTAAGTTTCCAGCATGAATTAATACCAGAATTTCCAATTTTGAAGAAACTCACAATTTGAAGAGCTGGGTTGTCTTGGGGAAGGCTAGCTTTGGCTTTCTCCACGTTTCGAACTCCAGCTTTAACTGCAAACCCCTTAGCCAGTAGCTGCTCAACAATTCTTTTACCAGTATTTCCAGTGGCACCAGCTACAAAAATTTTCTTCTTCCCAACTACATTGGTTTGAGTTGTCTCAGTAATTTCCTCTATAATTTCATCCCCTTCCATCTAAAACAGAGATCAACATAGTAATACTAACATTAAGGGCATTCTTCAACACTCAGTTATAGGACCAATACAAAAGGGTACAGTAGAGAGAGAGAGAGAGAGAGAGAGAGAGAGAGATACCTGAGTGGAATTAAGGATGGGAAAGGACCTGGTGTTGGTGGGAGAGTAGGAAATTAGAGAGAAGGGTTTGGTTGAGGTTTTGGCTATGGAAAGAGGAGGGTAGAGAAGATGGTGAGTGCAGAGCCGGAGAGGAGGGTTCCTGAAAATGAGAGGCAGAGGAGCTGCCATTTGCTTTATCTTAGTCTTAACACTCACTTATTTCTTTCTTGTCCTCCAAGCCCAAGTCCAAGTTCCAACCAAAACGGTCCCTGTCTTTGCATGACATTTGCGGTGTGAAACTGTGGGTCTGCAAACTTCCACATCAGTGTTTTTCCATTGCTTCTTTTTATTTTTATTTTTGTTTATTTTGTTTGCCGCTATATGATAAATACTAAACTTTAGCCCGTTTAATTAATAGAAAATATAAAATTTTATAAATTCAAAAATCCTTAATCTTAAAACCCAAAGGAACCTCGTTTTTTATGGAGGCAGCATAATGTAGCAGATGATCCTATGAAACTATGTGAAAGGCCACACCAGCCTCAAATGATTTTGTTTGTGGTTAAATAAAACAACATAATGTAGCAGCTTGGCAGATTCTTCTCAGTAGCCAACTCCACAGACCCTCCCTATAAAACTCACTCTCTGCATTCTCATTTTCGTCAAACAAAAGCAAAACCCACTTCTAAAGTTCAAGTTCATAAAGAACTAGTAATCAGATATGCAGGGTTGCAGAATGGCCATGGTTTTCACCATCTACATCATTGTGCGTGTGAATTTCGCTTCTTTCCAAAGTGACCGTTGCTCTTGGAGATGTTGCTGGGATATCTTCCATCATCAGAAAGGCTTCTGAAAAATGGGATACTACTGTGCCAACATAATGTTTTGGAATCAAACTCAGAGGTCACCGTTGCGTGATAGAACTAAAAAGATCCCCATATGAACGCTTGGGGGCATTGGCACGTGCAACTATCTCTACAACCTTGTAAGATGCTTGGGGACGAACTAACGCTTCAATAGCTACTTCTGCAACCTGATCTCTTGAGATTGTGCCTTCGTAGAGAGTGTCCTACAAAGAAAGATCAGAGAGAGCATTAAATCGAAACAACTCAGTTTTTAGTACTTCACAAGATTAACTGGGAAAATACATAGTCTGCCTAAAATTTGTATAGATTACCTCTGGCTCCATCACAAGATTTCCTGTTGGAGGCTCATTTCTCAACCCACCAGGCCTTATAATCGTATAGTTCATACCAGACTCCCTAATATAATCCTCTGCCCGAAGCTTTGCAATTAAGGTCAGTCCAAAAACATTAAGAAAGATGTAAGCTGGGTTGAGTATCTGCCCCATTGCTGCTCCATTGACTAAAAGGGAACTCACAAGGATAAACCTTTTCACACCAAGTTTCCGGCACGCATCTACAAGGTTGACGGTGCCCAAATTATCAACCTGTAGTGAAATAACCTTTTTTCAGACTGCATAACATAAACATCAATATCAACAAGTGCACCAAAGGAAAAATGAAGACTTGCAATTCTAGGACTACAAAAAACCTTACTGATATTCTTTTGTTAAACTGCACTGAAGCAAAGAAAAAGTGGCTAGCCAAAGACTAAGACTTTGAGTTTCACCAACATAAATTTTAAGCATCAGTCGACACGTATTGTAGGGAGGTGTAATCAATTGAAAAGTGGCTATAAGATTGTGTAGCAGAGACATGTTTGCAGTTATCAGCTTACCTCAAGTAAGAGGTCGTGCAACCTTTGGTTTCCATGAATGTTAATATATACCACAAATGTTTAAAGTGAAAATCTTAAGATATCCATTAGAAACATGCATTCATACATCAGTCAAATCCAATGATACAGTATATAATGATTTCGCTCCATGTGGACCATGTGTGAAATGGGAATAGATGTTAATTGCACGAATACAGAATCAAACTGACCTTCCATGGAGCATACAAATCCCATCCAGAGCGACATCCCGTGGCACAAATTACTGCTTCTGAATCGTCACTTATTGCATCTGCTAGCTTGGCAGAACCCTCTGTCACATCAGCTTTCACCTATAAACAAATACATGCATTATGTCATCCAAGATCAAATACATTAAACATTCCCAAAAACAGAAGAGACCCAATTGAGTTTCCAGCATGAATTCATGTCTCCACTTGAAATTCTCAAGAAACTCACAATTTGAAGAGCTGGGTTGTCTTGGGGAAGGCTAGTTTTGGCTTTGTCCAAGTCTCGAACTCCAGCTTTAACTCGAAAACCTTTAGCCAGTAGCCGCTCAACAATTCTTTTGCCGGTACTTCCAGTGGCACCGGCCACAAAAATCTTCTTTTTTCCAATGGCGTTGATATAGATTTCAGTTGCTTCAGTAACTTCCTCTGTAAAGTCACTCCCTTCCATCTGAAAAAGGAGATAAACACAATAAGCTAACACCGGCATTGAAGGCATTCTTCAGTTTTAGTACAAATTAAAAGAAAAGAGAAGGAAACAAAAGAGTACAGCAGAGAGAGAGAGAGAGGTACCTTGGTGGAATCAGAGGTGAGAAAAGACATGATATTGGGGAGAGAGTTGGAGATTGCAGAGAAGAGTTTGCTTGTGGATTTGATTATGGAAAGAGAAGGAGGGTAGGGAAGGCTATGGTTGCTGTGGGAACAGTGAACAGTGCAGAGACGGCGAGGAGGATTCCTGAGAGTGAGAGGCAGAGGAGGGTTCCTACTTATTTCTTGCCCTCCAAGTCTAAACAGCCTGCTGTCATTGCATGCCATTGCGCTGTGGCTGTGGCTCTGTAACTTCATTCTCCTTGCAATGGCTTCCCTCTTGCCTTCGCTTCATCACGTTCCAGTTCTGCGCTACATTGAGCAACTACTTTCTTTTCTTTTTGGAGGTTTATATGTTCTTTTACTTGAACGGCAATAATCATTATTTTCAAATCCATCAAATTGAATTAACCCTAATTCCGAACTTGACATTTTTAGCATGTTTTCTTTCCGGTCCAAAGCCCATGTTTTCTGTTTGGTCCTGAGCCCACTCCTCAATACTAAATCCTCGGTTTTTGATTTTTGTTTTTCCGAGTTAAAAAGTCTTCACTTACATAAAAATAAAGGAGATGAATAAATTTCATATCTAAAATAACACCTCAAGGAATTTTGCAAACTAATTGGTTTTAAATTTCTTAAAAACAAAGATGCATATGACATGGGCCATAAGGCAGTGCAGCATTACTTCATTTTTTTCCACCTTCAATAAAGCGTTCTGATGAACATTTTTAAGGTCACAAATTTGCGCATATGTTATAAAGCGAACATGGAGAAATGTTTTTTAAGTTACAACTCAAAGGGCGAGAGAGCAAATGGATTAACAGGGAAAAATAGATGATCCAAAGATTACATCACTAAAAATCTACTCCTAAATTTCAAGTTCAAGAAGCACGGGCAAAGCAGATACATCGCGGCCAACAGAAGTACAAAAGATATATGTTCCCCTCCAAAAGTGTGACGTTTCTGCTGTGTTGTGAAATTCTGCTCCCCCTGAAATTTCATTACTTTATTAAAATCAAATAAAGTATCCTATTTTGGGGGAAGTACATTCGTTTGAAGTAATAATCCACTGGATACATACCTTGCCTTACATGTTGTAGGTGATCCTTTAGGAACTCATGATAGTATCATAAACACTGTTCCATCGCTTACCATCACTATGTTATTGGCTTGAAGTTCCTGAAAATTTTGAAGTTACTGTTATTATTTTTCCTTTTCTTTAGCAGGCAACTCACGATTCATATTAAATCAAACTGGACATAGGCATCATCATACACAAGATACTAGCTCAAAAAATTATGAAATGAAGAATAAAAAAGTCAATCATGTTGTTATAAACCTAAAGACTGAAGATACCACATTTGATTATAATATTTCTTCCAATGAATTCAATGATTGAAAACTTTACCTGTAACAGCAATGTTATTTCCGCCCTAGAGTAACGGAAATCTTCTCCGGAATTGACGACGTTCTCTAAGTCCTCAATGGATATGCTTTGTAACTTTTGTTTCATTAGTTGATTTACAGAATCATTAAATGCTTTGATTCTGCAGGCGGAGAGGGAATAAAGGAAAGTGAATTGGAATTAGAAACAGATAACTCAGATATATAATTAACAAGAAAACAGAAGAGCAACTTTGCGCTGCCAGGCAGACCTTTCAGGAGAAATATCAATAGCAGATTCGGCAGGAGGGTCATCGACTTCCATGGCATCAGTTGAACTAACACGGGGAAAACCAAGAGGAAAAAAGTCAACTGAATGTTGTGAATTTGACAGCACTACCAATGGCGTAATAAGGGAAAAGTGAAGAAAGGACTTACAGATACAATGGGGGCACAGTTATACAACAGAGATTACATCAGTTAATACAAACAGGCAATTTCTGAAGAAAAAGAAAACACTTACCCTTCATTATTAGCAGTACCGTTGCCAGACCCATCATTCTGACCTGCGGAATTGTCAGCTCTGCAAGAACCAAGAGAGAAAGAGGTCAGCTGAAGGTTGTGAATTCAACAGCAATAGCAATGTTATTTAAGGGAAAAAGGAAGAAAGAACTTATAGATTTTCAGTGGTCTAGTTATACAACAGAGATTATATCATTTTATACAAATAGAACATTTCTGAAAGGTAAAAACTTACTGTTCTTCATTAGCAGTACCATTTCCACTTGCACGATGGGTAGCTCTGCCATTCCTCTCCAATTCTCTCTCTCTTTCTTGCTCCCGGTCCTCCATGTCAGTCAACTCTTTGTGATATATTGCAAAATTTAAAACTTGAAGAGCAGCATCAACATCAGACTTTGAAACCTGTGAAGGCAGATTTACCCTTTACCTTGACTTTGAACACTGAAGAAACCATAATTCTGATTTCTGTGATAAATGAAAGAGCAAAATGAACTAATCCTATTAGATACTTATAAAATAATTAAAGTTGACAAGTCACCTTTCTGCTCAACTTCAATTTTGCATGAGCTGTTGAGAGACGAATGATAGTTTCTAAAGTTCTGGCAGTAATTGGAAGTGTTCCTCCAGTCTGAATAGCAAAGATAATATCAGGTGATAATCAGAAACAGACATTGCATTGATCATGGCTCATATTTACAGTGATGATAAATGCTGACCTTTGCATTTGAGCCGGCATTTCTGAGTTCTGCATATGCTGTTGCAATTTGTTCAGATGCCTATTGGGAAAAAAAAGCTGCTATTAGTTGTCAGATAGCCTCATAATGCAATGATTGGTTGGGAAGACAAGTTCATAACTAACTGAAAAGGCTCCCTGCAAGAAGAGATTATTTGGTATGGCAGATTGCAATAACAGGATCTGAAAATAAGCAACCCAAATGACGAGACAAAGGGAAAACATAGACATCTCATACAAGTAAAGCATTAGCACCTCATCAGTCAGATCAGGCTGAATCCTATGCTTGGCATAATGAATGTACTTTTTAAGAAACTTGATTGTGAGGGTATCACGCTTCCGACCCCTTTCTGTTTTTTTCCCATGTAGCATACGGTTATACTTAACAAATACGGATGTGTCATTTTCATTTTCTTCTTCTCTTCCATATACGGAGCTCCCGTCAAGCATTGCATCACCTGCACTTATAAGTAAAATTTATTTTATACTTCTTAAAAATCATAAAACTTAAGCAAGAGATTACTGCTTTACTACCTCCAGTTGCAGAACGATACCGATGCATGCGCAACACATGCTCTGAGACTTGGCGGTCAATATCAGGATCCATTTGATCCAATACAATAAACAGTAAATCAAAACGAGAAAGCAAAGAGTCTGGAAGCCCAATATTCTTTGTTGGTGTCAATGAACGGTCATACTGCGCACTCATACAACAACCAGCATTAGAAAAAAAAACCTAAATAAATAAATAAAAAACACAAGATTCAGAAAGAAAGAAAAAAATTTGCAAATATGTATTTAAATGGTTGTTGATGACCATTAGTTGCGCCACTTACAGAACCATATATGGGATTTGCAGCAGCCACCACACTGCATCGTGCATTGAGGGATGCATGGATACCAGCTTTGGCAATAGTTACAGTCTGCTGCTCCATAACTTCATGTATGGCAACACGATCTTGATCATTCATTTTGTCAAATTCATCAATACAGACAACACCACGATCAGCAAGAACCATTGCACCAGCTTCTAGCCTTCTCTCTCCTGATAACAGAGAGATTAGTATACTATATGCCTGCTAATAACATCTTTTAATGCTAAAGTGCAACTGCAGGAGATGAATATGTTACAATACCTGTCTCTTGATCTGAAGTGACAGCAGCTGTCAAGCCAACACCAGAAGAACCCCGGCCCGTAGTAGATATTGCCAAGGGAGCGATATTCAGGATTGCTCTTAGAAGTTGAGACTTGGCAACAGAAGGATCACCAACCATCATCATGTTAATGTCACTAAAAGAAAAACAACATTGCCTCATCAAGATTCATTTTTATGCTAGAGGAGCACTTAGGCATGGCCTTAGAGCAAAAGGCAAAAGAAAAGAATATAGAAAAAGGGACGGATCAGATAGTTGAGCATAATTAAGACAGTAAAATATCCATCCAACACGTCAAGTTGAATCATAACTTACCCTCGTAGGTGAGTGCCATTCGTTAAGTTCTTTTCCATCCCACCAAGCATTAATAATATCACTGCTTTCTTTATCCATGAATGTCCATAAATTGAAGGTGCCAGTGAATTACCAAGCAGGTCAAATGTATCACCTCTGTCTGCTATCTTTTTTATGTTACTTATGTCATCAGGGCTGTAAATTGGTGCATTTGCTTCTTTGTTGAGCAGTGAAACATTGTTCGCTATGAGAACAGTCCTACACAACAAGGTCAACAAGTCAAGTTTAAAACTAGAAAACACTATTGATAAGAGAAACCAAGATTATATTTTAATAAGTCGTTGTGGTTGAAGCTACCTGAATACTCCATTCACACTTCCCTTGGTTTTACCAGGAAGAGCTTTGTATATCCCTACAATTGCCACACGGTCTCCAGGTTTGCATGCATCAACCAGGTCGTCCTCAACTATGACATCTACCGTTCGCGGAAGCTGACCAGGCGCGGAATTCTCAGGAACTTCTTGCATTGATAAAGTTTGATGATCTTTGTATTTGCATAATCCATACTCAGTCACCAATAAGTTACCATTTTCATCCTGTGGCAATAGTTTTTTATAAGAGGCCCTTCTCCAATGATAGAAATAGATATCATTAAAGCAGAAACAATTGAGATTACCCTTGTTGGATAAACGGATCCTGTAGGCAAACCCATATTGGATGTAATGTCTCGGTATTCACGAGTGGTGAAGTTTCCAGTTGTAGGGCAGAAGTGAACACTTTTAACAACTTTTGGCCTCACAAGAGAACCTACAAATGAGTTAGTTACCAGGTTAGACTCGCACATTCCTAATATTGCCGACAAAAATATTGCTTCATAGTTCATTAGCTGTACCGAAAATTAGGCAAAAGAACAGCTTGAGGTTTATGGTTTTCTGGCCCAAATCAACACCACCCAGACCTCGAATTACCCACAAAATCGTTCCCCCCCTTTTTTTTTCTTTCTAATCAAGAATGCTCATATTTGACACTTGAATTGAGAATGAAATGAAAGTAAAGTAGAAAGCAGAGGAAGAATATAGTACATTTGGTGACAATGCCGTGGACACAAACCATGGATCCAATGTACTCGGAGAGCAAATCTCTAGGCGTAACACGGCGCGAGACAAAAGGGCCTTGAAACCCCACCAGAAGTTGCTCCCCTTGCTTCAGGTACCTTGGGTCGATCCTGTTAGCGATTTCCGTGGCCGCATCGTTAAACGATTGCAGATAATCACTTGGATTTCTCAGAATCCTGAAAAAGGGACATAGAAGTAAAGCAAAATAAAACTAGGATTCTTCTGAAATTCTTATGGGGCTATAGTAACTTGAGCAAAGCTAGGATTATTCCGTGTTTGGTTGCTGAGAAAAGTGAATGAACCTGGCACCAATGTCGTCGCCGTAGGAGTGGAGATGAGAGATGTCCACGATGAGTCGGCGGCGGTTGTGGTTGATGATGGCCCTGATTTCGTCCAAGTATATCTGTTCATTTCTCTACCAAATTAGTAACAAGGAGAGAGAGAGAGAGAGAGAGAGAGAGAGATTGTGAGTGTGAGAAAGAGAGAGACAGAGAGGATTTGAGATTGGGGAGGAGGACATACGCCATCTTCCAAGAAGGCCAGTAGCTCTCGCCTGTGAGCAGCCCTAACTTCATCGCTGATGTCCATTTTTCTTCAATCTTGAATTTTGCAGGAAAAACGAAGTAAAGAGAAGACCGGGGACGAGATGGAGATTCGAGAGAGCAACTGCTTAGTTAGTGCTAATGCTATCGCATTGCTTTTTTCCAGACTTAGGGTATTTTATTTTGGCGGGAAAATGGGGGAGTTTGCCCTTTCTTTGGCGCTAATAATTTTTTTGTTCCCTTCAAAATTTTCAATCCAATTAAATACATTTTTTTATTATTTTATTTTATATTAACCATTTCAAATTGCGAGTCATATATTGAATTTGAGTATCTTTCACCACCCACTTTCCCTGAACATTTTTCTTCCGGAGGAACCAGAGTTTTTTTTGTTCAAACACAAGCTGCAAAGAGAGGACCAACACTACACAGAACCATTTGAGTTATGTATTTGATTTCCAAAGAGATGAATCATGCAGCATGGTTTCAGGTGCCGTCGAAATCGACTAGATGAGGCCCGATCTGACTAGATGAACCCTGATCCTCCATTCTTAACGTATTTTTTACTGATTTTCTCTATACATGTTTGGTCACACTTTATAACAGGTACCTCTTGAACAGCTACACCATGCGAAATTGATGAATTACTTACCATGATGGTTTTGCCAAATGGCTTGCCAGACTCAGTATTCAAAGAACTTATCAAAATAGCCTTCCATTACATACAACAATTTCACACTAACCACCACATCATTCAAAAGTGAAACGAAAAAAACATAATCCTACTAGACTCACGGAACCTTGTAACTAAAACTGACTTGCGTCTTTAAAATAGAGAGTAACTCTGAATTATTACAAAACTACAATTGGCCTCAAAAGTAAAAGGATGAAGCTCTGCCTCAGAAACAATTTAAGATCTCCTCTAAGCAACATTTGATGTAGTACAAAACTTGAACACAAGCTGGGATGATCAGGGCTTGAATGCAGAAAAGGCGACGACAGAGTTATGTCCACCAAATCCAAATGAGTTTGATATGGCTGTAAACAGTATAAAAGTTCTTTAAGTATATTGGTATTAGGCAATTGAAAATTATAAATGAAAAGGGAGTTTGAAGGTGTGGGCTTCATACCAACATTTACTTCATGCTGCTTCTTTACATTGGCAACAGTGTCAAACTCCACTGAAGGCTCTGGATTCTGTTTAGAAAAGAACATGCCAGTCAGAAACCATATTACTATAAGTAAAATGTTTTAAATAGAGAAGTTAAACTAATCCCGTGCTGTGGCAATTTCTTCAAAACCCTCAGAAACAAAAACGATTGAACATAGAAATTAAAAGTATCACGTACAAATTGATTTATGGAAGGATGCAGCCATCCCGTTGTTATGGCTTTAACTGTAGCAATAGCTTCCAAACCCCCAGAAGCACCAAGACAGTGCCCTATCATAGACTGAAACAATGTACAGACAAGAAAAACATGGTTAGGAGGGCCACATCATACAAATGAGAGAGAGAGAGAGAGAGAGAGAGAGATATTGCCTTAGTTGCATTGATTTTAATATCTCTAGTGTTCTTGAACACCTTCTTTATAGCATTTATCTCGGCCAAGTCACCAGCAAGAGTGGAAGTGGCATGCGCATTGATGTAGTTAACCTGATAAGGTGAGGGAGTAATTCAACAAACAATGCCAAGAAACAAGCACTAACATAAGAGGTTTAAGGATGCAGAAAGCACCTCCTCAGGTGACACACCAGCATCTTCAAGGCTTCTCTCTATGCATGTAGATACACCAAGCCCATCAGCTCTTGGATCAGTCATATGATAAGCATCACAGTTTATAGCCCCTCCCAAGTACTCGGCAATAATTGGTGCACCTCGTTTTGTTGCATGTTCCAAGCTCTCCATTACCTGTCAACAAAAATCAAATCTCAGATGTTATGTTTGAAATCATTTAAACAAAGAAAAAGAGCTCAAATTAAGTGTCATCATCGTTTTGATAGGACACTTCAATGGCATAAAGATTGTTTAGAGACACAGTATTTACAGGGGATCATATAATCATTTTGCTTCTACGTTAAAACAATGAAACCAGGCTTACCAATACTCCGGCACCTTCACCCATAACAAATCCATCTCTATCTTTGTCCCATGGCCTTGAAGCAGTTTTTGGATCATCATTTCTCTGAGATAAGGCCCTGCACGCAACAAAACCTCCAAGACCAACAGGAATTAAGGCAGCTTCGGTTCCGCCAGCAATCATCAAATCAGCCTCACCTCGACGAATGTGATTCGCAGCGGCGTAGAAACAGTAATTTGAAGTAGCACAAGCAGTCGAAATCGAATAATTTGGTCCCATAAAACCCAGATCAATACCAAGCAACGCAGACCCCATGTTTGTAATAGCATAAGGAATGAAAAATGGGGTTATTTTTCTGTGACCTTTCTCTATCAGTGCATGGACACCATCAGAAAAGACAGTAAGACCACCCATTCCTGATCCAACAAGCACTCCAGCCCGTGATTTATCAAGCTGTAAGCAAAGCAAAGCAAAACCAACCATTTTAGAAAGTCATGTACAGAGTTCAGAGAACAAAATCAACACTTTAAAGATGCCAACAATTCCTCGATGCATGACTCACAATTAGCAAAGCACTAAGACCCTAGATCCACAGTTTCTAACAGAACCTATTCCTTATATACACGAAATTAAATTCAAATCAATCTCAAAGATAACCCATTTAGTACATTCCACCAAAAACCCATCAAGCTCATAAGCATACATAAACAATTAAACGCATGCAAATCAAAGAAAGCAATGACCTTTGAGCGCTTATCGCCACCAAGATTAGCATCCTCTAGAGCTTTCTTCCCAGCAACAATGGAGTACCGAAGGCAATCGTCCAGTCGTCGATCGTTCTTGCCATCAATGTACCCCTCTGACGAGAACCCATGGATCTGGCCCCCGAACCGGGTCGGGAACTTAGACGCATCGAAACGGTCGATGGGACCCACGCCACTCTCTCCGGCGAGTAGCTTGTCGTAGTAAGCATTGACGTCGTTGCCGAAGACGGACACGAGGCCCATGCCGGTGATGACTACCCGCTTCTTGGGGTCCTTCTCGCGCTTCGGGGCGGACACGGCCGGGGCCGAGGAGGCGGAGATGAATGAGACGCGCCTGGAGCTGGTGGGTCTGGGACTGACAATGGGGAAATGGGGGGTCCGTTTCCGAATCGGGTCCAGCGGAGCGGGTCGGAGGGAAGAGGATTGGAGGGCCTGCATGGTGCTCGACTAATTGACTGAGATAATGGGAGGAGAGAGAGAGGTGACGACGCCAACGATGTTAGTGAGAGAGAGAGAGAGAGAGAGAGAGAGAGAGAGAGAGAGAGAGAGTGATCTCGGGCTTGCGTGCTGTGCGTTGTGTTGTTGGATTGGTTTTTATTTGTAGGAAGGAGGAGAGTTTGGGGGTGAAGTGCGGTGTGTGTGAAGTGGGCGTTTTGGTTTCAGCTGCCTCGGCGCCACGTCACTGTGGGTGGGAAATGAAGAGATGCTGCAGCTTCAAGTCTTCAACAAAGATATTTGACCCTTGATTTGCACAATTTTAAATACAAAATTCCTTTTTTCTTTTTCTTTCTTCTCCCCTTTTAAACGAATAAAGATATCTGTTGACAAAAAGGCCACACACAAAAAAAGGTGTTGAAGCCGCTCATACAGGAAGAGTCCACCTTAACCTTCTTGTATTTCCGCATTTACTCATAGATATTAAGTTCAAATTAATCAAATGTTACACCTAAAGTTTGGTAATATTTTTTATATAATATAATTTTTTTAGGACATTTCTATTGGGAGAGATGATAATATATTATGCTCACACGCACTACACAGATGTTAAGATTCGAACCCAAGGTCTTACCAAACATATTTAACTATATGAATAGATTAAGGCCGGACCAAGTCGGGCTTTTTCTCTTTGGGCTGGACGGGTCCCATCAGCCTGTGGGCTCGCGGCCCAAATGGTGACCTCTTTCCACGGTTTAAACATCCAGACGACAAAACGCATAGACCGTGGCACCGTGACCAGTTGCCCATTCGAACCCAGTTACCCAGACCCGAGTGAGCAACAACCGACACCCGAGGTCCAACGCGAAGAAGAACAGTACCACACAGAAGAGCGAGTATGGCAAAGGAAACTAAAAAGTCTCAGCAATCTCGCTCGTCTTCCTCCCCGAGGGCACCCACAGAAGCGTCAACTGGGTAATATCTTCTTCTTCCTTCTACTTCATCTGTATTTCCTTTTTCCTCACCACATGTTCATCACAGTTTAATGCCTTTTGATTTTATGGTAGCTCAATAAATGGAAAAGGAAAACTAAAGCAAGAAATAGGATTTTTTGTGTGGTTATTTTGTTCAATGGGTTGTGTTGTTGTGCATTCAATAATGAGGAGAACTCACTTCTGCTTAGCCAAGAAGTTGTGTTGAGCTCAGTTGGGTAGTGGGGGTTTGTTTTGTTAGTTTAAAAGTGAGAAATTGAACATTGAGAGTTCCGTTTCTTTCAGTTTATTTTAGTTTCATTAGGTTATTATGTACCTCTCTGGCTGCTTGCTGATAAATTTGGGTTAAAGAAAAAACAGAGGTGACTAGGAGGGGAATAAATTTGTTAGGGTTATGATTTATGTTGTTCTAAATGTTTAGTCCTCACGTGAGGCTAAACTCCATGAAGGGTTTTTGAGTCTAGTGTGTTTTCATGGTGTGATATTGAGGGCTGAATATGCTGTTTTGCTTCATTTCTCCCTAAGAGGTCGATGATAATTGAAAGAAGTTCTTGAAAAATTTAGGCAGATGGTGTTGAAGGTCAAACAAAGTGAAGGGACAAGGAGGTCAGCAAGGTTAAGCAGCAATGAGGGGAAGAGAGCCATTTCAGTACAGAAGTCCAAAACCAAGCAGAAGAAAAAAAGTGCAAAACTTGATGCCAAGATTCCCAAGAAACCACCAACTGCGTTCTTCTATTTCTTGTATGTTCCTTCTTTCATTCCTTTTCATGTGTCATCTATAGTTATTAGACATGTTTCACCATGCACAATGCATGTCTGTGGTACTTAAATTACCAACATGATGATGTTTATTGTGTGCTTGTGTTAGTTTCTGGTTGGGTATATATGAATTCATCATTTGGTGTGATTATGGTTCTGGGCTTTAGACTTTAGATTGTGGGTGCCTACTTGGATGTTATATATAGAATTGAACTCAGTAGTTTTATAGGGTATTCGACACCATTGAAAGCCCCAGCACCATATTTGTCAATAGTTTATTTGTATGGAAGTTAACAGATGTTTCAATAAAGTGGGTCTTCATTTCTATGCTGGAGTTTCTTTAGTACGCCATTTGCAATTCATGGGCATTTTCCAATGTGTTATTGCGGGTGAATGCAGGGAGGCCATGTTAATGGAATTGTTATCATAGATGATAAATTCAATCCACTTTTTGGAAGTCCAAGTTATAAATGCATGTGTTTAGTTAAGAAAATTTCAGTTAGACCTTTATTTTTTAGAGGGGGAGATTTCCAAATACAATGTTGGTTTTTTATTATACTTTATAATGCCTCAATGAAAACAATATTTGTGAAGCTCAGTCTGAGCAGCCTTCTCATATATGAAGAGCCATAAATCTCTGGAGATTTTATTTTCTTAAATTGGGTTTTCTTATGTTTAAGGGAGGATTTTCGTAAGGAATTTCAAGAACAAAATCCAGGTGTCAAGTCAATGCGCGATGTAAGTTAAGATGTAGCTCATGCGGTAATCTGTTTTACTTTTTGCTTGTTTCTTATCTGTTGCTCATTCCATCTCATCTTCAGATTGGAAAGGCATGTGGAGAGAAGTGGAAAACAATGGCATATGAGGTTTGTGGTCTTTGTATACTTCAGTTGACATTTAAGTTTTTAGTTTAGTTTTGTTTTTGCCCTCTCTAAATTTCTGTATTGAAGACTTGATTTCATCATTGACTGTGAAGTCAATACCAATAATAGGTGGTTTTGTCTTGGCAAAGGTTATTTACCAATAACAACTCAGTTATCTATGTTTAAGAAACCCCAATATTGTAGTGCATATTGCCAAAAATGTTTGATGATTGATCAAATATATGTCACTCCGCACATTGTTGCGTTGCATGTTAAAGTCCCTTTGTACTCCTTGCTTGATGAAATATGACTCTCTTGAAACCTTGGGGTCGATTTAACATAATGTTCTGACCTGTAGTTTTGGTTAACTATGACCCATTCACCAATGTAGACTTGTTTGATGTATGTGTAATTTTCCTTTTCACTCAAGCCATTTATTATAGTGGATCACAACTGACTTAAATAGAGATCCACCTTAGGTTCATTAGATTTACATCCAAGTGATACAGGCTGAACCATGGAACTGTTCTTTCCTAAATGCCCATGGTTTTGGACTTATCTTACTTGTTACTCATCCAATGTCATGAAGCTTCAAAGGTTTTTTTTTTATTTTTATTTTTTTACTGTTTACTAGTTTCCCTAACAATGTTAATTTAGGCCAGAAATAGCTGATATCATTTCTTTATTAATTGTTTTTCTTCTTCTTCTTATATTAGGAAAAGGTTCAATATTATGATATAGCGACGGAGAAACGAGCAGAGTTTGACAAGGCCATGGCAGAATATACAGAGAGAAAGGTAAACTTGCATGATCTTTGTGATTAATAAGCTGAACCTTATCTTACAAGCAATGCTCATTGTTGGTCAATTGCAATTTACTAAGCAGATTTTAAACATTTGCAGGAAAGTGGTGAGGATGAAGAAACTGAGGATGAGGAAGAGGAAGATTGGTCTCCCTAAGAAATCACGTTCCCTGTGGTGGAAGTAAACAAGTGTATACAATTTATAGGTCGCTGTCAATCCATGTATCATTCTTGTCTATATTCGTTCACAATTGGATTTAGTAGTGAGTGCAGATTTTAACAGTTGGTATGTACTTAAAATGAGTGAAAGATGACAAGTCAAATTGGTACTTATTAGGAACTTCTAGTTTTAATTGGCCCCAGGCAAGCATTGGATACAATTATTGTCTAGATATGTGCTTGATTAGTAACAATCTTTGGTCATCTGCCTAGCCCAAAAAAGGTTGCTGTGGTTAGTGAGAACACTATTTTGTTTTCATCTCTCTCTCTCTTCTTCTTCTTTATATTTTATGGTTTGGTTAATTATTTGGCTATAAATTTTATACACTTCCCACTCAAAGGGGGAAATACTTGTCCAAAAACTGAAAGCGCTTATTCACCATTACGCCTCACGACTGATGCTAGCATTACTCTTCTGACTACTTAAAAACAGAAGAAGTCGAAACAAATTTTGATCATGAAAGACCAAGTATATAAGGAAAGGTAACTACTGCTCTTATTTATTTGGAAACAATCCCAACAATGTCTCTGTATACAGCACTAAAGACCTCGCTATTTTTTGGTCACCTATCCTATGAAAATAAACTTATGGATTACATTTTCAAAACTTTTCCTTCAGTAGTAGCACGCCTATCAGCTGGTGCTCCTAATGAGTTGGAGATACTCCTGACTTCTGCAATCATTGCAACCACATCATTGAGCTTGTTCACTGCAGAGCCCACACCCTGTGTTCAAGAATAATACAAAAAATCAATATGTTGACAATAAAAACTAGCACAACAAGGCACACCAGTCATTGATGAAATATGCCTAGTATAAGTTGAGATCCTTAGAGAAACAGAAACCGGTTCACTGTGTACATACCACTCCGGCGGCTCCTGCTGCTATGGCCATTGGTGCTGTAACTGCACTCAGTCCCGATGAACACATGACGGGAATCTTGACAGCCCGTGATATCGAATATGCTGCTGCTAATGTTGGCGTTGCCTGGAATATGAAATATGATAATCAACTTAATGCAGAATGGAACCTAGGCTTTTATTATTTCGTAAGTTTTATCAAGGTGAACTTTCCAAATCGTCAAAGTTGCTTGTGCTATAATGTGAAAACCTTTAATTGCAAGTTACCCTTTTATTCTGTTTTCTCAATGTACAGATTTTTATGGGTTTCACTCTGTGTTACCTTCTCGACCAACCCAAGAACGCCTGATTTTGAGGGACTCGAACATTTTCCTCCCTCTGTTTGAATGATGTCTACACCTTCCTGCTCCAGCATCTCTGCAAGCTTGACCTGTTGATCAAAGTTTCAACTAGCTTGGTTAAACTAAATAAATGGTGCCTACATGCATATGGATATTTTCACTTTTGGCAATGTTGTTTGTGACCTGATCTGGGAGGCTTAGTGTATGAGGTACGGTGACTGATAAGGTCACAGATGGAAGAATCCTCTTTGTCTCCTTTGTTAGATTTAATATCTGAAAAGGCACTTGATAGAATTAGAAAAGAGAGTTATTTACAAACTTCTTTAACAGTTAAAGACAGCTGATAAGAATTCTTGCTCACTATACTTTTCACAATTTGCAAGGTGAACCCTCAAATGTTTTACCTGCTCTGGAGTGAAAATCACACCCTTCTCATAAAATGAGTCATAGTTTCCAACCTCAACCTGAAAAAGGACATTGTGAATTTGTCAAACTAAATATGTAGCATTCCTTTGAAAGAGAATCAGGTTACACAATAAAATTCTTGGCCTGAAAGGGATTAGTTTACGGTCGAACCATCAGTGCTCCTGCTTCAACAGCAGCTGGAAATGCCGCTGGATCCACAGAAGAAACGCAAACCGGAAGAGAAGTTAAACCTATGGCAAGCTTCACCAACTCTGGGTCGCAAGCTATATCCACATGAGTTGCTCCTCCCTACCGGTGCAAGGACACATGACATAATGACCAAAAAGTTCAACATTAGCTGGAAACTTCAATGAAATTTAACACCAGAAAGCATATAAAAGAAGATAGTTTGCAATAGGGAAAGCGATATGCTAACAGGTCTAACAAATTTTGATCACTTGGCTCAACAACAAAATATTTTAATGGCAGAGTTCATTATTAGTTCATCAAACCTGCTCTGCCGCAGTAATGACTGATGCAACATTTTCTTTGTCAAAATTCTGCAAACCTGAAATAATCTGTAAGGGAAAGCTACATTAGAAATTCTTGGATATGAGGATTCAGGGCACAGATATTAAATTGCAGAAAGACCATTAAACATAACATAATCATCTGTTTGGTTGAGTAAGGCTTTAGGACAGAGATGACAAAACATTAAAGTAAAATTGAAGCAATGGTTTTATCAAACAACCAAACAAAGCACAAGGTGATGCTAAAGGTTACATAATGATAACTGGGATTTGCTTTACCTTGAGAGCTCTGCGTTCATGAAAGTCCTTCAAGACTGATTCCTTGGTAGTTGATAGAAGTGCTCTGGTGGTCAAAGACGCTCTTTTTTTGAGAGACAAGCATGGTCTTGAAGACAGAGAGTGACCCAGAAGAGCGTTGTGGGTAGGTCTCAAACTGGAAAGAGAGGATGGTGAAGTTTGTATGCAGACTGAGGCTTGCATCTCCACTCTAGCTGAGGTTCAGAAGTTGGGAAGTTGGAGGGAAAGAGATAAGAGGGCCTGGCAGTGGCAGCTATAAAATGTTTCAGAAGAAGATAATTTTGCTGCCACCTCACCCTAAATACTATCATATGATATGATTTATTTTATGGGAGTTTCCCTAAAACACCCAAAATGGGGGTTGAAATTATAAAAAAAACCCAAGTACTATTTAAACATATAAACACACCCAAAACCCATCATTACACACACTCAAAAACCCATTTATAAACACACCCAAAAAGTTGACTTTGGGGTTGATTTTGGGTGTGTTTCTATGTTTAAATAGTGCTTGGGTTTTTTTATAAATACATGTCTAGGATTGGGTTTATTTATAAATTTGTATTATTTTATTTTATTTTATTTTAGCCTAATTTATGACTCAAGATTGAGACAATTGAAAAGCTCATGTGTTCTATTTAGAAAAACCAAGCAGAGGATCCACGTTCCATAGAATAATGCTAATAACACTAAATTTAAGTCCAAATGTTTATCGACCAACATGATATAATTTTTGTCAAGAAAATCTGAAGGTGCATAGAATTTATACATAAATATGAATAAAATCGAAATTGACGTCACGTTCCAACAAACCCAAAACCATTTTATTTTATTTTTCTTGAATAGCAATTGCACACCTCTTCAAAACGCACAGCAGGAGCCATCTCTCTCCACACTTGCCAATTTGCCAAAGAACACAAACAAGAACTTTCAGCCCAGATAGGACTATAAGCCCATCTTCCATGTAGGTAAATCACGCAGCTTACTGGGTTCAAGTCCGCAACTTGCCATTGCTTTTCAACTTTTTGGATCTGATTAGCGATCTACTAAGAACATGACGAGAAAGGTTAATTAGGCTTTTGCCTCATCTATGTCCTCAATACTTTGTTCTAAAACTCCTGCATAATTGCATCATTGGTCAGCAGGGTTTACTGCTAGCGGTTTGCTTAAATTAAACTTGATGCCACTAGATTTGTTGATGATATATATTGGGCAAAAACACAAAAGAACAAGAAAACAGCTTTTCCCAGTTGGAAGTTGTAACAGGTGAAAAGCTTCCATCTTTATGCAGGAGATCTTTCTAGGCCAGCCATGTTAGGAAATTTAGACCTCATGGATGGAGGCAATGCCATTATATTTTCCCATTGTTAGTCTAAGGCATCTAAATCTCAAAACCCAGAATTTGTTTAAATGACAGAACCAATTAATGTTCTGAATTAATATGCTGAAAAAGAAGCCAGAATTTATGCAAAAAAGTTAAACTGAGAATTAACTTTGTACATAAACATAAGCACAAATGACAGAACCACTGTGCTGAATTAGCTTAATCTCTCATACCCAAAATCCCACCCCACATTTGACATATCCTCCCCATCCCAATCCCAAAACCCAAGATTGTTTCTTTCTCTTGAGAGAGATTTTTAAGGAAGACTTGATGAAACCCAATGGCTGAACCACCCGTAAGCCAACAACTTTCTCTGTCAATTTGTAATCTTCTTTGAAGCAACTTAGAGAAAACCAAACAATTATATAAAAGAGTCAGAGAGAAACAGACGGACACCAAAGCCTCAAAACTTGCATCCGCAGAAGAGGTAGAAGAAACAGACGCTGAGCAGCAAAACTATAGCCTCAAACGCAGAAACAATCTTGAAAATCACATCATCATAGAACGACAGCTGCAGATTCAGCGGCCTAAACTTGAAGGCAGACCCCAAGTACTTCCACCTCAAACTCCATGACTCTTTCTTCATTCTCTTAAAGAACAACCATCTCTTCTTGCCCACCATTTTATCTTTCAGTTTATCTCTCTAGAGAGCTCTTCCCAGACTTCTGCTTTTCTGGGTTTGGTTTGGTTTGGTTTTGGTTTGAGGAAGAGGCGGTTTTATTTGGGGTGAGGAAGATTCGGTTTCTTAGGAGGCAAGTACTCTAGAATATAGGGAGATGGTGGGGATTTTGGCGGGCGGGCAAGGGTGTTTCGGTAATTTGGAGGAGTTGTGGGCCAAGTGGAGGACCAACTCCTCCGCGTTTTGATTTGATGGAGTCAAGGAGAGTAATCAACGTGGGGGAGTGGAATTGTGAGTTGTCCGTGTGCGACTAAAGAAAAATCCCTCTTTCCATGGAATCAAAGGGAAATGTAAACTCTCATATAATGAGCTGTTTCTTGGTGGCTTCCTTTTTTTTTTCTTCTTTTTTTTCTTTCTATTCTTTTGCCCTTGATCAAATCATCAAAAACACACAACAACAAAAATGTACCTGTTATTTGGCCTTGTTAGCTACTTTTCGGTTAAGAAAACTGCTAACGCATCACGTTTTCAAATCACATTACTCTTTCGTTATAAGTGTAATATGAATCATACATGCAAACAGGAAGGATATGATGTTCTCAACGTAAAAATTGAAAAACAAAACACATATTGTAGTATGAAGTTGGAATAGAAAACAATTATACAAAAAGAGAAGGCTATTTTGAGGAAACCAAAACCTCCAGATTCGTTTATGACTGTAGAATCAAAACATCCCAATTGCTAGACTATATAAAGCATATGGGTCAATTAAACTGTTAGGTGGTTTACTTTTAGTGAATGAGGTAAGAACAACAAATTACAAAATTAACTGTGTACACGGTATGAGTAACTTAAGAACCGTGTGGACAGAGAGGAGACAAACAGAGCTCATTTGGAAACTTGAAATATTATATCATCCTTGGTTGTATGTGGCAGCTGCTCTGATCAGGCCAAATGTCCAAATCCAATGGAAGCATAATTTCTGTCAATTAGCTTTGCAATTTATAAAAAGGAAAGGAAAAGGCAGATAGAATATGCTACGTACTCATTTGACAATTGCATGCATGGAACTCCATTGAGCTGACGGAAATATTCTAAAGAGATGGGGACGGTGGAGTTAACAAAAGATATATATGAGTGACATGTAGTAGGTAGCTATATATATATATATATATATATATTATTCTCTGGGATCTTACCGAAAGTGAAAAAGCAAGGAATTTCAAAACCATGGTATTTGAAATTCTTCATTCCCCTTTCAATGAGCTTTAACTGGATGCTACAGGCCTTGCGCTTGAGTTCAAGATGATGTAATCATATATATATATTTTTTATAGAAACAATATTCTATACTTTAATCTAATACACATTTGCTCTAATGAATTTGGCTAAGTCCATGTTGCTGCTAGTTAATTAGCCGATTTGAGGGTGAGCCATCAAGTTTTGGTCTCTAGACCCCCTCCCTCACTGGTGCGTATTTTGTCGAGGGATGATCTCCTTGCGCCTCCGTACCAGCTGTGGGATTTCGTTCTTACATTATCATTTTACTAGGAAGTTGTTTTGCTCCCTTGAGATTTGTTACTTGTTTGATGATGTGAGGCTTCGGCTTTGTGTATTTTGATTGGCATGACTTCACATGTGCTTTTGGAATGAGAATATCTTTTTCTAAGCAAAAAAGAAAAAAAAAACTTGGTTAAGTCCCTAACTGCAAATATCGTATTCTCTTTGGACATGTTAATTAAAACAAAGTTATCTTTCAGATAATAAAAACATAATAAAGGTATCTTTTTAATTTATCTGCACCGATTAGACTGGGAATAATCTTAATATGCACCGATAAAGGTGTTTATATTGTTAATTAACAAATAATTAACACAGCAAGCTGCCTGTATCGTTCTCTCCTACATTAACAACTAGCTAGCTTAAGCTTTAATTAATTTATTAATTTTAGATGCTCTAAATTAAACAAACAAATGAAGAGTGTGGTCCTAAATTTGTAAAATGAAGGCACAGGAGATATATATATATATATATATATATATATAACTGTATATATGAGTTGCTCTATTTGGTGAGCCGGACTGAACTGGACTTTTTCAATTAAAATGGACTATAGTCCTACCTAGCCCACCAAACACGGCCAAGGGTTTCGAGAGAGAGCATTTCGAAGGTCGTCTTCCATTCCATGTCTGCAAATTATTGTCTTTATATATATTTAAATCTGTCTGGTTTCCACAATTTAGGGAGCTCCACATGTACATTTGCCTTTGCTGGCGGCTTGCGTCTTGCAATGCCTAGCTTGCACACCATCTGCAGCGTCATTCATCCATGTCATCAGCTTGTTTATATATTGATGGATGATCCATATGACTAATCCGTTTAATTTCAATCATAGGTGAGATTTTTATCAATTCCGAATTTCAATCATACTAAAACGGGCCGAGAGTTAATTAACATCTTATTTGCCTTGTAAGTTGAATTTAGAGAGAATGTAAAAAACAAAAAATAAAAAAAAACAAAAATCAACTCCAATCATGCTCCTTATTTAGCTCTTAAAATAAGGAGAATTCTAAGAGCATCCACAATGGGAGAGTGTATATGGGGGTATATGTTAAATATACACCCCTTGTTATCGGAATCGTCTCCAATGGGGAGATGTAAAGGGATGTAAATATACATCACTACCATGGAGATGTAAAATAAAATGTACATTTACATCTATTTTTATATATTTTGCAGGAGGGACCCACCCGAGAAAAGAGAGGGAAAATTATACATCTTAGATTTACATCGTTTCTCATTGGAGCAAAAAACGTATTTACACCCCCCGGAAGTGTAAAAGTGGCTTTACACCCCCCAAAATACACTCATCCACTGTGGATGCTCTAAAAGCTCTTAAATATAAGGACAGAGAAAGAGACTTCTATTGGCTCCTACTTATTATAACTCTATGGATCATACTTAGAAATTTTATCAAAGAGCTCCTAAATTAACATTATAGGTTTTTTTTTCAGTTAACATTTAACTTTAAAATAGGGAGCATGATTGGAGATACTCTAATTATATGTTTACTTAATATGAATGATATGAAAAGTAAGAGAATTATTTTTATTCCGGACTTCCCCTTGTATACTACTAACACATAAAGAATAAAAAAAAATTGTAAAATAAAAAACACGTAAAGGGTTTGCTCATATTTGCTCAAAGTCATGTTTTTTGAGTTGCTCAAGTTGTCCAAATTACATTATTTTAAGCGGGGTGAATGAATTAGGCTATGTTTGATAACAAATTGACATAAAATTATCTTCAGTAACTTACGTAAAAACCAGTAATATTCTTATCCAGATGTACATTACTAAAATTGTTTAAGGCCATTAATCCCCATTAGAAGTAAAATTTACATACACGTAACCTTAACGTGTACACCATATATAGCATGCATCACGTGACACATTGCGTAATTATGTGCACATGTGCCCTCAAAGTTATGTACGCATCTCACACGTAATTGTGGCGTTGTGCAATGTATATATGACTGTGGAGGAAACCATTTATAGGCAAAGAATGCTATAGGTAGTAACGCACACGCGCGTAGACAATTGACCTTAGCACATCTAAGAACATACACAACATTTCTACCAACAAACATAAGTTCATCTTTCAACCCATTACGCATATTAGGAAAATCTACCTCAGGAACAACCAAATCTACCTAACACCAACATCATCAGGAGAAAGAGAGACACATTCATGGTTGGTAGCCCTAACAAAATTCATCAAATAAGGTCTCTCACTCATTTTTAGCAACAGTCCTATCAGTCTCTACATCAGGCTCGTTTGCCAGGAGCAGCAATGAAGATGATGCCTCCATCTCACAGGCCCTGGCTTTCACCTTCTCGCGCAGCTGTTCCAGAGACTCCTTCATTTTTTGAAGATCTGCCTGGCTCAGCTCACGAACATTTGGTGCCTTGCTCTTGAGGGGCAAACCCTTTGCTTTCAGTATTGCCTTGTCAAGCATATGTCCCCTTTTCTTCTCAGCCTCCAACTTCTTGTTCAGGTCATCAAGTTGTTGGCTAAGCCTCTCCACTGTTTCATCATTCTTTGAATTTGAAGAACCAGCTTTTGATTTTGAGACCTCCTGATTTAGAAACCTGTCAGCAATTGACTCCACATTTGGGTGCCCAAATGAGAAGGGCTTGCCTCCAGGGGAGAAAACAATGAGACCAATCTCAGCTCCACACAGAGTAGCAAGCTCATTTGCTTTCTTAAACAGACCGGTCCTTCTCTTGGAGAAGGTCACCTGCCTAGAGCTGCTATCTTTCACCATTTTCATCTCAATTTTCCTCCTCCCCATGGTATTTTTTTGATTGGAAAGTTTATGGGATTGTTGGGGGAAGTTGAGGAATATATATATATATAGGGGCTTGAGATTTCTGGACCCATGTAAAGGTTCATGTTTCTAATATTGGATTGTAGCCCTTAATTCTATGTGTAATTTGCTTATATGGAAAGCTTTAATTCTCTTTCCTTTATGTTTGATTACTACCAAATGCATTAAAGTTTAACACTTTTGGGTTGGCATCATTCAATTCCAATTGTTGCATCCCAGATTTTGAAATTGAATGAGGCAAAACTTGTTTGGATTACCTATTAGGTAATTCCTCTTTTTGTAGCTATCCAATTCCTGCTCATTTGATTCAAAGGGCTTTGTCTGGGAGAAAGAGCAGGAGGACCCCATGATTGTGATACTTTGACTAATGTGATATACTTTAAATAAATGGTAGTAATAAAGAAAATGGGATGTGATTTGTATCAATTATATAATGAGCAAGTACTAAATCTGTTAGGTCCAGGGATAGTGTGATAATGCATGGCCCCCTAAATTGGCAAGAGAAAAGTCCAATGAATATGGTTACCAATTGCATATTTTAAGTTACCATTTTTAATTACCAAAAAAGTTATATCCTTATATGCTATTTTCCTTAAATGTGATTTAGTTTTTGTCATTTTTAATGGATTTCTTTCAACTAACTGGGGCTCGTTTGGGAGTGATTCTAGATAGGCCAAAATCACTTCTGGGAAGAAGCACCTCCCACATGCTTATCAATTAAATCACTTTTAGTGATTTTAAGTGATTTTGGGGATAAGCACCTCTCATGTGCTTCTCTATAAAATTGATTCTCCATAGAATCCCTTAAATTGATTATATGTAGTGTCCGTTTGGCATTGCTTATTTAGGGTGATAAGTAATTTTTTTTTTAAATTGAGAAGCCCAGTTCGTTTGGTAAACTATAAGAAAATCACTTATTGTTAAAAATTGTTGTGAGAAAAAGCTAAAAGGGAAAGCCGCTAATGAGGTGCTTTCATTTTCTGATTATGTAGAAATTAGTTTCGAAGAGGCGCTAGGTTTAATGATTATGTTGGAATCATTTTCTGATTATGCGGGAATTAGTACCAATAACATTTTTAACAAAAAGTTTACCAAACGCCAAACTGTTTTATCTCACAACTGATTTCTCTAACAGCAAATCTGACAGCGATTATTTTCACAGCACAGCATTGCCAAACTGGCCCGTAGAAATGATTCTCCATAAAAATAATTATTTACCTATCCATAATCACTCCCAAACGAACTCTAAGTACTTAATTGAGTAATTTTTTTTTTCACTTTGCTAGACGAGGTCTCAAGTTTGAAACTTCATTCCCCTTATATTTTTTATTTTTTATTTTTATTTTTTAAAGGAGAATGTATATATGCTCTAATAAATTGCGTGAGTACCATCTATCTCTCTAGTTGTGTTATCACATATTTGATTTTTTTATTATTATAAAAAAGTTTACTATATGGAAATAAGGTATTGTGTAATTGCTATGATATATTTAGCTTTTATATCTATGAATAAACAACACAAGTATATTCGACATTTTTACGTAAAAAAATTATTATTTATTTGAGTATGCATGCCAATTGATAAAGAAAATTATTTTAATTCGTTATGTATATCAATGATAAATAAGGATGGACAATGGTTACTCATTGAACATTAGATTTTCATTGCGTTAGAACTGAGACATATGGTGGTAGTAGTAGTGGTGGTGATACTAATGGAGGTGGGTACTAGGGTTCGGCAATGGCCCGACCCTTAAATTTTGGCCCAAGCTAATCCACACGGGTCATACTTCTTCGAGCTTGATCAGGCTAGGCAGCCCGCTCAATAAAAAATATATTGGGTGTATTTAGATGGGTTGGGCAGTTATCCGAGATTGAATTTAAAACCCTTTGATCCAAGTTTTTTGTTTTTTGTTTTTTTTTGGGTAAAGCCTTTGATCCAAGTCTTATCCAATACAAAATTGAGCATGGCCAACCCACTTATGTCTTCAATCGAAAAAGGGTTTTGATATGGTGAGTTCTGGCCGGCATTCTTCGAGCCATGAGGTGTGGGCCAAATGAAAATCCTTAATGTGTAACCCACGCATTGGATATCAGTTACCATCGTACTTATGTGTATAATCTAATTGTAATAATCAATACAGGAGGTCCCAAGTTCAAACTCTCATTGCATCTTAGTTGTGTATGTGTGTGTCTGAGAGAAATCCGCATCCCCTTTAGTTTAGACTATCGCTTGTACTAAAAAAATAAAAAATAAAAATCAATATATTTTTATTGGTTGTTAAATTGTTTGAGTGAAGTTCAATTAATTACACATAAAAATATACCAATTCGAACAAAAATGCAAGTAACATTATAATTGAACAGACATCTTGATTCACATTATCGATGTGTTGCATAGGCGGAACAATTGATATTTGCTAATGAATAAAACTAACCCACTCATGTGTATTGTTATTACATAATCCATCCTAGTTTGGAAAACCCTAGCTCTGAGGTTTTTCAAGATTAATGGCCATAGCTAGGAGGAAATGCATAAGAACCAAGCCCACTTGGATTAGTATCAAAGTTGGGATTGGTTTGTTGGGCAGAAGAAGAGGAGGCATCAAAAGCATTTCTCCGCTCCTTAAGATGGTTGGTGATAGTCATGTGTAGTTCTGCCATTGAAGCATATGTTTGTTTAAGCTCATTCACATCAAGCTCATCAAGAGATGCATTCCACCAAAACTCTTGATTATTTCCCCTTGTCTTAGATATCTTTTCGAGCAACTTGCGTCGCTCCTTCAGAGCTTCTAATTGGATTAGAAGCTCATTAAAAAGTTGGATGAGATCCGCGATTCTCATTTTTTGATGAACCTCCATGATTTGGTGAGTGTACTCGTTGTTTTCCAGTTGATTTTGATTTAAAAATCGATTGATAACAGCATCAACGGATGGGTGACCAAATGAGAAAGGCTTACCAGAAGGTGAGAAAATCACAATGGCGACCTCCCCACCACATAGTGTTATCATATCGCTAGCTTTCTTGGATATCCCCGATCTTCGTTTCGAGAAAGAAACGAGAAGATCGTCTTCCTTTTCGATCCTCTTCATCTCTATCCTTTGCCTTCCTCTTGTTTTCTTGCCTTCACTGGCCATTTTTTTTGGCCTCCTTCAAAGGAAAAATAAGGAATTTGGAAATAATGAAGAAGGCCTTGTTGGTTTGTTTTTCCCTTCATTTGATGTGCTTATATAGGAATAGAAACTGCATCTTTGCTAAATTAATGCAGGTTGACCATGTAGATATGTTTCCAAGTTGTCCTCTCTTCATGGATATTTTACACTCTTTAAATATAATTAGTCATATATTTTTCCTAAAAAACATTATTTTGCCATATATTAATTGTCTTTTATGCCCTCATTTTTGAGTCTTTGACGAATTTGTTGTGTAGGCGTCCATCGGCCCATGAATGTCATTGGCACCATCACATCACAAGCATCTCTTTCTCTAAGATCAATAACTTCAGCTTAGTATTGTTCACCATGTTTCTGTTGAGGCTTTCTTATCTAAAGTTTAAAATGTTTAGTATGTTGATATATTGCTTTCATCATAAACTAATGTTTTGTTTGATCACCTATATATGTTTGGTGCAAGCCTGATTTTTTTCTCTTAAATCCGAGCATAATATGCACATACTTTTTAGTTGATCGTTAACTAATTAATTGTTATGTTATAAGTTGGAACTTTTTGTCTCTACAAAAAATACAAACATGAAAGTTGTATACGATACGTTACGTTATATGCGTCCGCACTTTTAAATTGAAGTTAATTAAAGCTACTTCGTTAAAACATGACACTTTTTCTTTGCTTACAAATGATATGAACATAATATATAGTATGCACACACTTTCTACAATCATACTAGATTCACCAAATTCAATTAATTAGCTCTTGTTATATGTATAACATATTATGTCAATTCATCAAGAAATTTATAGTGAGGGCTTATATATGGCCTTTAGGTGATGCCCTATTTCTTAACTGTTGGATGAAATTGGTTAGCCGTTGAATCAAATTAGTTAGCATGGTCCAACGATTAAGAGATATAACATCACCTAAGGACAATATATAAGACACTCACTGTAAAATAACTCGTCAATTCATATTATTTGGAAACAAATGAGCCTCAATGTAGGCCCAAATTCGATAGTTTATTGGGCTTCAGTCCAACACTTAAGAAAAAAGGAATTTATAAAAAAATAAAATAAAATAAAAGTCTTGCTTTACCCACATAGTTTCTTCATTTAAAATTCAAGTGGGAAGTATTGTATCAACTAGTATCCAAATCCCCAGTTTACTTGCTCTCACATTTAGGACATAGATTTTGCATACTGTCACATCAAGTGTGTAAAATAAATTTAATGAAACTTCCTCACACCAACATAAAAAATAAAATAAAAAAGTAATTAACATTCCACAAAAAAACTATTTTTAAGAAAGAATAATACTAGTCTAACCACATTTTTTGTACCACAATTTTTTACCACATGATGTGGCGGCTGATGTGTACATACCACATCATGTAAAATACTAGTTTCTGTTTTTCTAATTTTATTTATTAAAATACACTTCATTCATTTAATTGATATGTCATATGATATGGACATGGCACATCATGTGATATAGAAATGTGAGATACTAATATGGTAAGTGTAGCATTACTCTTTAAGAAAAAGAGGAAAGACAGAGAGACTAGAGCCAAATTTCTAAAACTTTACCATACTAATATATATATATATATATATAAAGTAATTAACAGTCCACCAAAAATTATTTTTTAAAAGTAAATAGAAGACAAAATACTAGAAGCCTATTGGCTCACGGCTTGGGGCTGAGAGATTATTGGCTCACGGGTTGGGACTGAGAGCTTATTGGCTAAATGATTATGATTTGTACCAAGTCAAACCCGTTGGGTCAAAAAGAGATGATTTATTTGATTTTGATATTCATGGTAGAATCAAAGCCACCCGCGTGCGGGAATCAGACGAAAGACAGTATCCGTCCAAATTACGAATTTACCCTCGGTGTTTTGAGGTAGTTACCCCAGCTGCCACCTTGATTTTCCTCTGTGAAGTGAAATTCGAAGGCTGTGTTTGGTTGTGGGGCAAAATCGCAAAAAAAATCAACCAAACAGCACACAGATCTGTCATGAAGGATACCATCAAGGAGAAGGGTCATATTCTCCGTCCGTACGCTTCTTCTCAGTCCCAGACCAAAAGCTTTTGCTTGACAAGCTCTTTGTTTTGTCTCTTTTTTAATTTTGTTTAGAGAGAGAGAAAAGGTGGGTTATTGGGGAGAGAGAGACAGAGAGAGAGAAACACAGACAGAGAGTTAAGAGCCTCTAGAGGATGTTTGAATTGAGAGAAGGCTCTTGCTTTCCAAGGGTCTTGGTGGGTGTGAATGTGGGTCTTGCTCTCGTTGATGGCATTATAGCTGTTCTTGCATTTGTCAGGTTTGTTTCTGCTGCTGTTTTTTATTTGATTCTTGTGCTCAGTTTTGTGTGCTCTTGCATTTTCGAATTGGGTTTTTTGGAAAGTTAGTATCTCGTTTTGTTTGGTATGATAATATCGTGGGAAAGCCAATGTGCATTGGGCATGTGCTAAAGTATGAAGCTTGAGGAATGGGATTGGTTGCACTTTGTGGGCTTGAATGTTTTGGATATGGGCATTTTGTTTTTACTTGGAATGTTTCTGAGTTTTTGAGAATTTTACTTCTCATTTGATTTTATTGTTGGACTGATAATTGGATTCTGTTTTGCTTAGTTAATACTGAGCTAATGGAAAGGTACTGTCCTATGCTAGTTTAAGAACCATCTAAAAGTTATAGGATTGGCATTGAAGTGAGAACAATGAAACAGTTGGACTATTCCATTTTAATGAACAGTTAATCTATGTTGGTACAATCGGGAAGCTTAATACTCCTGAGCTGAACTGTGTCATATGTTTGTGAATGTCTTGATTTTAGACCAACCGGAAACTATATTTGTTAGAAAGAAGGTCTGGTTGAGAGCGGGCAGTGGCCCTATTTGTTGCTTAGGTTTTAGTTCGACTCAGGGAAGTAACTTATTACCCTCAAGATTCATTCTTATGTTTATGTGTACTTTGATGTGACATCAACCTTGGAAAACTGGCGAAGTCCATGATTGATGTCTATGAAGTTCTTTTATTAAAATGACTCTGAGGGTTTTTTTACTTGCTATTTCAGTTAATCAGAATTCACTCAAGGAATTCACAACTTGGCTGGACTCGCCAAAAAGTAAGTGATGAGTCATGCTTTATTATTCCTTATTCAAATTCAGATTTTATTTGTTTTTCTTCTTGTGTTTGTGTGTGTTTTTGTTTATATATATGTGGAATATGTACATAAATACATGCATATACACACATGTACATACATACCAACACACACGGACACAGACACACATATGTATATATGTATATGTATGTATGGTTGTGTGTGTGTGGATGCATGATGTATGCAATGTTTAGAAGATATTGTTAGCTGGCTGGATTAACCTAGTTGTGCTGGATCTGGTTGACTGGTTAATGGATGGACTGAGTTTGCTGTCCTTGATCTTTTCCTGTTAAGTAGTTTGACATCGTAAGGCTTCCTAGGAATCTGTCCTAATGTGAAGAATTTTGAGCGACTGTTAAAGAAAATTATGCTGTACTCGAATACATTTAGAGTCATAGAATCAGCAGCACCTTAGGTTGGGTCTCATATAAAGTTTTATCTATAGCAATCGTTCCTAAGGACTTGGTAAGAAAATTAAATTAGCCACCAGAAGAGCAAATAACTTATGCTTAAGTCTTTCACATAGAAGAGATGGATAGATTGGGAGGAAAATGATGAATGGGTACACATGTGCATGACGGCTTTTAATGCACCCTGCTTTAGTTTTGGTTGAATCCATATTCACTTATGCACTGATGGTACAATTAATTGAAATGGAAGCTCACTAAAGCATGCTGTCATTGTAATGCTTCTCTGTAGGTTTTTCATCTGTTGATTGGCTCTTCTAATTTGGGTAAGAATCTACAATTCCCAATATGCTATTGCCTTCTATTCTTTATCTGAGTTCTGTATATTCTCTTCCAAGGATGTTTGGCCTTAAGTATGATGCTTATCACGAGACTTGCTATTTTGGCTCTCTTTTCGTGGCTATTCTATATATATAAAGCTAATTTTGTAGCAGCTTTTTGGTGCTAATATGTAATTATTCATGAGTTTGGACTCACGAAAATAGCCATTTGCATACATAATGGATGATACAAACTGCACTAATAATTTTTACCATTAACTTGTGATTTCGACAAGCATATATATTTACATCCTTGATCCAAACTGAATTAATTTATTTGGTCTTGTCTATGACAGGTTGCTTAGTTTATTTTGTATTAACTCTTTTTGCTGCTTGCAAGGGGTGGCAATGTTGGTCTAACTCTTGTGGTTTTAGCCTCATGGGTATGCTTTCTGTCTCAAATAAAGGGTATATTATCTATCTTCTGAACTTGGCCAAAGCATCTGAACACTAAGAATTTTGCTTTGCAGCATTACCCAAAATTCTGTTTTTTGCTGCATTTCTTCTACTTTTATCATTCTGGTAAGTTTTTCATTTCCTTTCCGTTTTTAAATCCGAAATGATTTCATGAAAATTTGAAAGAGGTGTAGTGATCTTAGATTTCTTTGTCTATTTTGGATACACTGACCTGTCTTTTATGTTATGGGTAAGCAACAATGTTATTTCCATTCATAAAGACAGAGAGATTGAGGTGGATGTTACCCATAGGACTAGAGAGTAAGATGGATGAAGTGAAAAAGTGAATTGGGAGAATTATGTGACCATAGAATACCTCTCAAGTTAAAAGTATAACAGTACAATATGGCTATAAGACCAATGGTGTTACATTGTACATAGGACGAGGATAACTGAAATGTAGATGTTAGGCTGAATAAACGAGGATTCCTTGAGAAGTATATAGATAATAAATTAGCATTTCTTGAGAAGTAGCACCCATATATTTCTAAGTTATGGATCATCAACTCCCATATAGAAGATATCACTCATTATTTTTGCTGTTTCTGTCTTGTTAGTGATTTTTGAAATCCTTTGCTTATGGATTTTGGAAAAATGTTGCTTTGATGGACTTGTGGTGTGCCTGCCCTGTCCTGTTTTTTCTTTTTCCTAGGACATTCTATTATAGTTGGGATATGGTGTTGATTACTAATGTCTCTAATTGGGCGTGTGTTTTTTTTATGAGCCATCTGAAAATAGAGATCTGGAGTGCAATTTGAAGTATGAAAAGTTGATATTGCCTTTCTTGATAATTTTAATGAAAAGATTGTTTCTTTTGAGCTATATTTGACATTTTCCTGGGGGGGTTTATTTTACCTTTAGGGTTGACCTGTGCCATCAGGCAGATGATGAGGATGAGGAGGATGAAGGGAGTTTTCATGAAGCTTTGTTGGAGAAGACATTTAGCAAACGGAATTCAATGGAAACAGATAGTCATAGAAACTGTTTTCCTCTGCGTTTTGTTCATATTGGAAGCCGCCAGAGAATTGTAATTCTGGTATTGCCACAGTTCAAAGTTTTTTGTTCAATGTCTACTCATATATGATATAAGATATAGTTCATAATTATTGTAATTTTTTTCCTTAAAAGACGTCTGTTCTGCAAATAATGTTAAAGTTGATTAACTCCCTAGTTGTCTACCAGGTTACCGTGGTAGTTTTTGTTATAATGGTGGCATGTGCAGTGATAATCTGGATTGGGATGGGAAAAAATCCTATTGATTCTGCAGTGGTGGCTCGGGTATGGACCCTTGCTTGTTTTCATGTACATGAATGCTCTTTCTTGAGGCTGATTTAGAGATTTCAAATAACCTATTTGGGCATGTAGCAAATATTAATGTCAACCAAATATGCAGCTTTTTTTCTTCATTCTTATTTCTAATTAACAAGTAGTTAAGCTTTGGTGCAATGACTTTTATCATCATGCAGGTATACGTAGATCTCTTTGCAATAGCAATACTATTGTTAGGAGGAGCATTAGCATGTTACGGTGAGTAACTATCATTTCACACACTTGTATTTTCTTGCATTTTTCAAGTGCAACTCCCCCCTGTACTTATCATTCGATCTCTTGAAGTTACATTTTGCGTTGTCTTTGATTTTCAGGAGTCCTATTATGCTTGAGAATGAGAAAAGTTAGATCTGAGAGAGCTTCTTCTGAGATGTGGAAGGTATTTAATCTATTGCTGAAATATAATATAATTTATTTTATTGATTGCAATAATCTGATGTTGTACATAATTTCATTCATCTGTCCATTGAATTATCAGATCATTCAGAAAATGTTTTGTTTGGCAAACAGATATCCGTGCTTTATAGTCCATCACTTGCTTTTATGTTTTTCTTGACAGGTTGCAGGTTTATCTGTTGTTTCCATTCTATGTTTCGCCTCAAGCGCCTTTGTGGCTCTATTAACTGATATTCCTGTACGTACTTAATTATTAGCCATATAATCTTTGCTTTATTCACATATCCAAGTCAGTTTAATATATCTCTCAAACTTCACCATACTGTTTTGCAGATGCTTTACCATTGGCATCAACAGCGTTTGAATGATGTTTATACTTCTCTTTTACTGATTTTATATTATTTTGTAGGTAGGTAATTCTAATCTTCTTTTCCTGTTTGCAATTAAATGAATCCTGTTCTTTTATCTACAGGGATTCATAATCATATTGTTTGAGTTTATGATGTTTACATTGTTTTTCTCAGGTTCATCAATACCCTCAGCATTTGTACTATGGATCATGAGAGAATTACCTCCCTCGATAACAGCCAACATACGAGAAGAACCAACTACATTAACTTTCGTCAGTGATGGTTCCACATCATTACAACATCCTCAGAGCTGGACTACTGCAATGAGCTTGCGGAACCAGGTTCGACTTCCTCTCTCAGAACTTTACTTTTAATTTATGTTTAACTGCTGTTCACCGTGGGTAAAAGTCCCCATTCTCTGTCCCATTTACCCATGCATGCTAAATATGATCTTTAAGCATATAGGAGTAGAGTTAAGATTACATTAAGTTTTTTTCGGTATTTCGTATTTACACTTCTACTTTGTTGCCTACTATAATTTGTTACGGTACAGTAGCTAGGTTTTACAGTAACAGACCTGTTTGAAATCTCTGTTTTGTTTGTAAGGTAAGTAATTCAGGTTTATGGTCGTTAAGTTTGGGTTTCAGGTGCAGATATCAAGAGCGAGTCCCATATAACACTTCTCCTCTATGCGAAGTGTGCTGTCTCACTAACGTTCCTGCGTGCAAAGCATGTCCTTCCTCTCCCAGTTTATGAAGTGAGCTGGAATCAGTGAAGAATTATGTCGGATAAACTCTGACACCGATATGACAAGATCTATTGGGCGTTTGAGTTATATTGTTGACAGGCAATTTGTGTACAGCCATAAGTCACCATTGCCATGTTTTTGACATTCTAGGGATGTACATAGCAACAATATGCTAATTGAGGGGTTTATTTATTTATTTTTTCTGTTTTGATAGTACTTTGATGTGCTGCTTCGTTCTGCATATATGGCATCAGATGATTCCTTTTCATTGTGCAATTCCTCAAAAGAAAAGAAAAATGAAACAACGTATTATTTCAAAATGAACTCAGAGACAATTCCTTAGCGCGGGAAGTTTCTTTCAAATGTCAAATGATTGATCCAACCAAAATGAGAATTACACGTCCTAGATCATATAGGAAACGTGAAACAGGACATAGCTGGGTAAACAAGTCTCAATTACATCGACAGCTTTAAATTTTAAATTTAGACGGATAAAATGTTTCGTAGTTAACCCATAAGCTGCACTCATGAAGTCTGCATAAAAATATATCTGTGCAAGAAAGGCCCCAATGAATCTGAATTATGAAGATTGCAACTCCTTCTGTAAACAATGCCTCAAGTCACACAAGATTTTATCAAACTCTCAGGAAGTTTCTGTCAATTTGTTTTTAATCTTTATGCTCTTGTTCTCCATTACGTTTTTAACTCGGAATTTTCTTCTTGACAACATGCAAAGCCTGATTTTTGGATAAACCCAAAACAAGCGGTCAAGAGAACTCAAATGATGAGATTTTGGAAAAGGTAGTTGGTTCAAGAGGAGGATAAACAGCTGTTACAGCAATACTAATCAATGGAGAGAAGCTGATTGTAGCAAATGTTGGGGACTCCCGGGCAGTTTTATGCAGAGATGGATGGTGTAGCAAAACAGAAAACTGTGGATCACGACCTGGAGAAGGCGAAGGAGAAGGATCTTGTTGAAAGCACAG